CTGCGGCCCCTCCTCCTCCCTCTCTAACTAAACAGCTTTTTTTTTGCTGCTTCTACTCTTTAATCTGCTTCATATTTATTCTTTTATTCTTTTGCTGCTGTGCTTTGCACTTATGCTGCTCCAGTTACACCTGTGGGGCCCACCGCAGTCTCGAAGTGACCCCAGTGGTCCACTCAAACCCTAAACCCTAAACCCTAAACCCTAAACCCTTAACTCCACAAAACCCTATGCAATAAACCCTAAAGCCTAATCTATAAACACCAAAAACTGAAATTTTACGGTTAAACCCTAGACCCTAAACCCTAAACCCTAAACCCTCACTTCGACCGGCGAGGGACCCCAGATTGCTAGGCTAGAGACACCTAAGGGAGGCTCAGCACGAGGAAGTATAAAAGCTCTTTTAGCAGCAGTCTGAAGCTAAACTCTAAACCCTAAACCCTAAACCCTAAAAAAGGGTTTAGGGTTTATATCAAAGGCCGGCACCAGGTGAGCCTCAAAGAGACCTCAGCTGTCTCCTCGCTTGTTTCTATCGGTTTGCTTCCTTCTACGGGTTGTGTCTCTCTTAAATGTTTATAAAGGACTTTCTTTATTGAGAGATTTACATGCAATAAGCTGCAGCACAGCAGCAGCAGCAGACGAAGAGGCGAGAGAGAAAGAGATAATGAAGACTTTATCTCTAGACAGCAGAAAGGAGACAGAGCACAAGAGGAGACAGTTTTTTGCGTATAAGTATAGGCAATTAGAGACAGCTTGCTGCAGCATCAAGAGCATATTAATTATTATTATATTGAATATTAATTAATATTATTTAATTATTTAAAATAATTAATTATTTATACGGGCGCCGGGGATCGAACCCGGGATCTTTCGCGTGTGAGGCGAACGTCATAGCCACTAGACCACGCCCGCATGCATAAACTGCTGTCTCCTTTTAATTTTTGTTTATTTTGTCTCCTTTCTTGTCTACCCTATCTCTTGTGCTTCGTCTTTGTCGCTTCTACAGTCGCTCCGCTGTCTCTACTGTCTCTCCGCTGTCTCTACTGTCTCTCTGCGGTCTCTACTGTCTCTCTGCTGTCTCTCTGCTGTCTCTCTGCTGTCCCTCTGCTGTCTCTCTTCTGTCTCGCTTCTGTCTCTTTTGTGTCTCCTTCGTGTCCCTTTTGTGTCGCTCCGCTGTCTCGTCTGTCTCTCTTTGTCTCTCTTTTGTCTCTTCTCTCTTTAGCTCTGCTGCTGCCTCCCGACAGTCGCTCCTGTAGCCCGTACATCCTAAACCCTAAACCCTAAACCCTAAACCCTAAACCCTAAACCCTAAACCCTAAGCTTACCTGGTACAGGGAATGTAAGTACATCCTTTTGGTGCTCGTTGCAGCAGACAGAGATGAATCTGCTGCCTTGAACGCATGTAGCAGTAATATCTGCGTAAGGCATTTGCTGCTGCAGCTGCTGCTGCAGCTGCTGCTTTGGTGCAGCAGCATCTGGAGTGTACAGCAGCAGCAGCTTCTCTCCCACACCGCTGCGGCTGCTTCTGCTCAAATAATCTGCAGCGTGAAGGGAGAGCAGCTGCTGCGCGTCTGCTCCAGCAGCAGCAGCAGTACGAGCAACAGCAGCCCGAGCAGCAGCAGCAGCTGCTGCTGCTGCTGCTGGTGGCAGCGGGTAGCTGCCGCCTTTAGGGGCCTTTAAGCTATTATTTCTCTCATTAGCTGGTGTCAGCGGCTGCTGCTGCAGCAGCAAAACCCTAGAAGTAGATATAAGAGAAGGCTCAAAGATGCGACGCCTAACAAAGAAAGGAGACTTGCGCTTAGGCCGGTGGCGCCCCCAACGCATGCATATTGCTGAACTGTCTACTCCCCTGCAGCAGCAGCAGCAGCAGCAGCAGCAGCAGCAGATAAAGCATATGGAATCGTATATGAAGGATAGACGCAATAAGAAAAGCTGCAGCAATACAAACGCATGCGGTTGCAGCTACAGAAACAGCAACACCATCAGCAGCAGGATTGTACACTGCAGCAGCAGCACTAGCTGCAAGTTACTGCAGCAGCAACAGCAGCAACAGCAGCAGCAGCAGCAGCAGCAGCTTGCCTTGGTCCCTTGGTGAACGCTATGAATTCTTTGAAGGACTCAAAATGAAGGCCGCGTCTCTGACAGTAGAAAACCCCACCATTTGCTGCTGCTGCTGTTGCTGTTGCTGCTGCTGCTGCTGCAGGTGCTGCTGCTGTTGCTGGTTCATGACTGCCTGCTGCACGCCAAGGTCGCTGTGTTGCTGCTGATGCTGCTGTTGCTGCTGTTGCTGCTGTTGCTGCTGCGGCTGCTGCAGAGCGTTGAGCAGCAAATGCTCCTTTTGCATGCACCAGCCGTCCAGGTCTTCCTGCTGCGGTTGCTGTTGCTGTTGCTGCTGCTGCTGCTGCTGTTGTTGGTCGAGCAGTGCATGCAGCAGCAAAAGGTGTGAAGGCCCTCAAGGCCGAGGGGAACCGCAGCGCTACACACGACATCATACGGTGTACGTACAGCTCTTATACTCCCCACACAATGAAAAGAATCACCGATTTTGGGTTTAGGGTTTAGGGTTTAGGGTTTAGGGTTTAGGGTTTAGGGAGGGCCTTAGAGGGTAGGCCGCAGGGCCCAACCCAACGACGAATACCCTCTTTATTTATCTTTAGTTGCAATCTTCATAGCTGAATTCCAAGGGATTTAGGGTTTAGGGTCTAGGGTTTAGGGTGTAGGGTTTAGGGTTTAGGGTTTAGGGTTTAGGGAGGTACACAGGGGGCCCCTGGCTGCATGCGTTTGCTCGGGCTGCGAATGCGTTGAAGTTTTTGTGGTTTAAAGAAGGCCTGAAAACCCTAAACCTTAAACCCTAGACTCAAGCCCGTAAACCCTAAACCCTAAACCCTAAACCCTAAACCCTAAACCCTAAACCCTAAACCCTTGATGTGGTTATGTCTCTGGCTGCTACTTCTGTGCGGGGCCCCTCGAGGCCCCCATCAAGAGGAAGCTTTCCTTTAGATCGAGAGGGGCTTTGCAGCGCAGAGCAGCAGCGCTACCTCCGCTGCCTCTCAGAGCAGCAGCAGAAGCAGCAGCAGCAGCAGAAGCAGCAGCAGCAGCAGCAGCAGCAGCATGGGGCAGTTGAGGTGTACGACCACCTGCCTTGCAGACCGCTAGCAAAGGCCTTTTTGCAATGCCGCATGCAAACAAATTTAATGCAGAAAGAAAAGCTCTCCCTACTAGGCTTTTCAGAGACCTCAGATGCTGCTGCTGCTGCTGCTGCTGCTGCTGCTGCAGGTGCAGAGGAACACACCACAGCAGCACAACCCCCAACAGCACCAGCACCAGCAGCAGCAGCAGCAGGTCCTGCTAAAGAAGACACTGGGTACTTAGCAGGCATCCAGGCGCTGCAGCCCTATTCTAACAGAGGATTCTTCGGTAGAGTTGCTGCGCGCTTCAGCTGGCCCAAGCAGCTGCTGCCGCCTCTATTTAGTCGCAGCAGCAGCAGCAGCAGCAGCAGCAACAGCAGCAGCAGAAGCAGTACGAGCAGCAGCAACAACAACAATAACCACACCAACACGCTCACGCCTCTGCCCGTGCCTACAGATTCAGAGGCAGCTGACACGGGAAGCAGCAGCAGCAGCGGGAGCGGCAGCAGCACCGACCGCAGCAGCAGCAGCAGCAGCAGCAGCAGCAGCGGACGGTCTAGCATAGGATTTGATAGATTAGACCACTATCCAGATAGCAGAAGCAGCAGCAGTTCAGGAGACCTAGGATAAGTGCAGCAGCAGCAACTGTAACAGCCGCAGCTGCAGAAGCAATAGCACAAAGTGAAGCAGCAGCACAAGCAGTCGCAGCAGCAACGGCAACAATAACAGCATCGGGGCAGCAGCAGCAGCAGAAGCAGCCTTTGCAGCGGAAGCAAGCAGCAACAGCTACACCCGTAGAAGCAGCGACTGCAACAGCAGCAGCAGCAGCAGCAGCCGTAGCCTCAGCCACTGCAGCAGCAACGGCATCGACAACAGCAGAAGCAGCGGCAGCAGCAACGGCAGCAGCAACAGCAGCGGCAGCAGCAGCAACACAGGTAAGAGTGAAAGGGATGCAGCACTATTTTTTTTGTATAGGGGCGGGAGACTGGCGGAAGCAGCAGCAACAAGTAGCAGCAGCTGCTGCTGCTTAAGCAGCAGCAGCAGCTGCTGCTGCAAGAGCAGCAGCAACAAGCAGCAGCGGCTGCTGCTGCAAGAGCAACAATGGAAGCAACAGCACCTGCTGCTGCTAAAGCAGCAGCAACAAGCAGCAGCAGGTGCTGCTGTTTATGCTAGAAAGACAGTTCATACGCTGCAGCAAAACCTGAGCATATATCAGCCGCGCAGCAGAAGCAGCAGCTGCTGCTCCCGCTGCAGCATGAAGACAGCTGTAGCAATTCAGCAGCAGCGATAGCAGAGAGCAACAGCAGCAGCAGCAGCAGCAGCAGCAGGCACTGCAAGACCATCAGCAGCAGGTACCGCTGCAGCAGTCACCTAAGAGCAGCAACAACACGAAGAGCAGCAGCAGCAACGAGAACTGCAGCACCACTGGCTGCTGCAGCAGCATTATCAGCTGCAGCTACATTTGAAATGAAAGCGGCAGCCGCCGCAGCGCAAACAGCTGCAGCAGCACAAACAGCAGCAGCAGCAGCAGCAGAGAGAGTTGCTGCAGCTGCCTTATGACTTTGTGTATTTGTTTTATATATGCATCATTTGCTTCAGCAGACCTCTTAATGTCGGCTGCAGCTAGCTGCAGCTAGCTGCAGCAAGATCGGCTTGCTAGGAGCTGGCTGCAGCTAGCTGCAGCTGGCAGCTAGCTCGGCGTGCAAGCAGCCAGCCTCTAGTAGTTGTAGCTAGCTGCAGCTAGCTGTATCTAGCTAGCTGTAGCCAGCTGTTGCTAGCCCGTAGCTAGCTGTAGCCAGCTGTAGCTAGCTGGGCCTGGCGTGTAAGCAGCAGCAGCGAGCTGTAGCTCGCTGCATGTTACACTAGCAACGACGTGGCTAGCTGCAGCAGCAGCAGCTAGCTGCAGCAGCACCAGCAGCAAGCTGCCTATGGAGTTGAGTGCTGCAGTTACTGTTCAGCAGATGGCTCTAACGGAGGTGTACAGAATGAGTTTAGGGTTTAGGGTTTAGGGTTTAGGGTTTAGGGTTTTGTAGTTAGGGCTTAGGAGCCTTTTCAGTGCAAATGCAGGCCCCCGCTGAAGCTGATGGTTTAGGGTGTAGGGTTTAGGGTTTAGGGTTTAGGGTGTAGGGCTTAGGGTTTAGGGTTTACGCTGTACGCTTTAGGGTTAGGCCTTCCTCTATAGGGTTTAGGGTTTAGGGTTTAGGGTTTAGAGTTTAGGGTTTGGAGGGTTATTTGCACAAGTTAATCTCTGCAGCAAACAAATAAAATAAAATAATTAATTAATTGTTATAAACCCTCTACGCAGCCACCACTGCAGCAGCAAGAGACAGTGAGGGGCCCCCCGGGGGCCCCCCAGACAGCTGCTCTCTGGCCTTCCCGCTAGCAGCAGCAGCAGCTGCTGCAGCAACAGCAGCAGCAGCAGAATTTATACAGAATAAAGAAAGCAGCAGACGCGGCGAAAGGCAGCAAAATGGCTTCGGCTTTGCCCTCTCTTGAGGGCCCTGTTATCCGCATCCGAATGGATGGTGAGCTGCTGCTGCTGCTGCTGCTGCTGCTGTTGCTGCTGCTGCTGCTGCTGCTGTTTCTGCTGCTAAGGAACATGCGCCGACTGGACAGACAGGGGCCTAAGGAGACACACATACACCCCAAGCTGCAGTGCTGCTGCTTGAAGGCAGCGACAATCACGCCCTCCAGGGTTTAGGGTTTAGGGTTTAGGGTTTATGGTTTAGGGTTTATGCTGTGAGTTGCGCAGTGGCGGAGCAGCACTTACCTCCCGCTGTGCTGCAGCTGCTGGCTCTAGGGAGGGAGACGGATGCGGCCGACTCAGCAGCAGCACCATCAGCAGCAGCAGCAGCAGCAGCAGCAGCGCCAGCAGCAGCGCCAGCAGCAGCAGCAGCAGCAGCAGCAGCAGCAGGCGAAGCAACCTTTAGCGTAGGTGCGTTTGTACGAAAAGTCAGTGGAGAGGGGCCTGAGGCCCTGGGGCACCGACTGCAGCAGCTGGAGGAAGCAACAGCAGCTCTAGACGACAACATACGCAGCGAGGTAAACCCTAAACCCTAAACCCTAAACCCTAATCCCTGCACCTGCTTGGTGTATGCGGAGGTCTGCTTGTCGTACAGCCTCATTAGCTGCTCCTGAAGAGGCGGTTTCTACTGTCGGCTGCAGCTCTTGCTGTTGCTGCTCTTGCTGCTGCTGCTTCTGCTGCTGCTGCTGCTGCAGCTCTCAGCGCACCTGGGCTCCCTTATGCCGGGGGTTGCATACTTTGCTGAACTCATGCAGCCCAGCAGCAGCAACAGCAGCAGCAGCACCAGGAACAGAAGTAGCAGCAGCAGCAGCAGCAGCTCTGCAGGCGCTCACTTGCAGCAAGCAGCAAGCCTTGAGGGAAGCGGCGAGCTGAGCAGCAGCAGCAGCAGCAGCAGCAGCGCTGCTGAGAAGGAATCTGCCAGCTGCTGCACGGAGCAGCTGCAGCAGCAAATTAGCTGCATATCTAACGAGGTGCAGCAGCTGCAGCAATTGACGCAGCAGAAAGCAGCAGACTTGGAGACTGCTGTGAATGAGGCAGACAGGTGACATGCTGCTGCTGCTGCTGCTTCTGCTGCTGCTGCTGCTGCTGCGGTTGTCCAATGCAGCAAACCAAGCCCGCGTTATTGCTCCTGCAGAGCTGCTGCTGGTGCTTTCGCCGTCACAGCTGCTGCTGGTGCGGTGGAGATGGATCCTGTCTCTGCAGCTGCTGCTCCCTCTGCTGCTGCTGCTGCTGCTGCTGCTGCTGCAGGCTGCTGCAGGCTGAGGAGGCAGTGCTGTGTGCTCTGAATTTTTTGCATTGCTTAAAGAAGCTGAGAGAAGAGAGTGCAAGTCATAAGAAGGCCGACTACCTAGTCAAGGTAAACCCTAAACCCTAAACCCTAAACCCTAAACCCTACGCCCTCAACTAGCCACCATTGATTCTCTAGGCGAAGCGTTATGCGTTGCTGCAGCTGGAAGCAATGGTTGCTGAGGCGGAAGCTAGCAGCAGCAGCAGCAGCAAGGGATCAGCAGCAGCAGCAGCACTGCTACGACTCAAATGCATGCAGCCGGCGCTGCAGCAGATGAAGCAGCTGGGCCAGGAGATCCGCAGCAAACCAAAGGCTTTGCTGCAGGAGTCGCTGCAGCAGCGGGTATACAGCAGCAGCAACAGCAGCACAAAGAGCAGCACAAATAGCAGCACAAATAGCAGCACCAATAGCAGCAGCAGCACCGCCAAGAGCAGCAGCACCAACAGCAACAGCAACAGCAACAGCAGCAGCAAGAGACTGCATGTGCACTGATTCCACCCGCAGCAGTTGCTGCTCCGATGCACACCCTGCTGCTGCTGCTGCTGCTGCGTGTGTGTGTGTGTGTGTGTGTGCGTGTGTGCCGCTCAGGACGTAGTAGGCGTTGCTGACAGCTTAAAATGTCTCTTCGCGCTGCAGCAGCAGCAGCAAACGCTGGAGGCTGTGCTGCAGCAGCTAGCAGCAGATGCATGCAAGCCGCTGCCAGCGGAGGCGCTGCGCGCTGCTGCTGCTGCAGCGATCGCTCCTGGCAGCCCCAAGGCCTGCGCTGCACCGGCAGCAACAGCAGCAGGTGCAGCAGGGAGCCAGCACCCAGCAGCAGCAGCTGCTGCTACGTTTTGCGAGTCTCTTCTCTCTCGCGGCAGCGGCAGCATTTCTCTGGTTTGCTGCACTCCGTTTCAGCAGCTAATTGCTGAGTGGGGTGTCTCTATATTCTCCTCGTTGGAGACAAAGCTGCGGCAGGCCTTCTTGCTTGACCAGGTGTACAGACACTGCTGCTGCTGCTGCTGCTGCTGCTGCTGCTGTTACTGATGTTGATGCCGTCGTTGTCCGTGCTGCTGCTGCTACCTCCTTGGCTGCCTATTGCTGCTGCTGCATCTGCAGTCTGACTGTTTCCTCATATCCAGAAGCCCTGCTGCTGCTGCTGCTGCTGCTGCTGCTGCAGGTGCTGTCTAGCCCGGACTTGTCTCCCCTTCTGGACGCAACGATGGGGGAGTGGATGCAGCAGAGAGGTTTTGTTTCTTCTGTTGCAGCTGAGCTGCTGCGCAGGGTGTCTGTACACCTGAAAAGCTGCTACAAACTACTGACAGCCCGCAGCAGGCCGCTGCAGCAGATGCTGCAGCAGCTGAGTCAGCAGCAGCAGCAACAGCAACAGCAGCAGCAACAGCAGCAGCAACAGCAGCAAGAGCAGCAGCAGGATCACGTGCTCGCAGAGTACAGGGCTGCAGCACGTCATCTGCTGCTGCAGCAAAACGTTGAGGAAGCTGCTGCTTGGTGTCTGGTTGACTGCACCCCGCTGCTGCTGCTGCTGCTGCAATCCTTCTTGCTTCGATGGAGACGGGCAGAATCTGCAGGGGCCCCCCTGCCTTCCCTCAGTGCGGCGTCACTGTTGCTGCTGCTGCTGCTCCTCCTCCTATTTCTGGTGTTGTTGCTGCTACAGCTGCTGCTACTATTGTTGTTGCTGTTGCTGTTGCTGTTGCTGTTGTTGTGGTTGCTGCTGCGGCTGCTTTTGAAGCCTCAGTTGTTTGCTTTTGCTGCACAGCCATACAGTAGGGGAGAAAAACGACATCTCTGCACTGCTGCTGCTGCTGCTGCTGTTGCTGCTGCTGCTGCTGCAGCAAAATCTCAGGAGACGCAGTTGATGGGCAGCCTGAAGGAGTTGATTGCGGTGTACAGACAGCGCATTAGCAGCATTCACGAGGACATGCTGCAGCTGCTGTTTTCTGCTGATTTGCTGCAGCAAGCGCAGCAAGAGCAGCAGCAGCAGCAGCAGCAGCAGCATCCTAGCAGCAGCATGCTGCAGAAGGTTCGCAGCAACAGCAGCAGCAGCAGCAGCATTGTGCTTCCTACTGCAGGCGACCTTCGTGCTTTCTTGCGTCAGTTGTTGCAGCATCTTGCTGCTGCTCAGGTAGCGGGAGAGCCGCTGCTGCAGGAGGTATGAATGCAATGCTGCTGCTGATTCTGGTGCTGCTGTTGCTGTTGCTGTTGCGGTTCCTGCTGCCGTTGCTGCTGCTGTTGCTGCACTTGCGTCTGTTGCTGCTGCTGCATTTGCGGCTCTTCTAGATGCGTTGCTGTTGCTGCATGTGCTGCTGCTGCTGCTGCTGCTGCAGGCTTCCGCTGCATGCGACAGTTCTTTATTTTTGTTAACGTGGCTCTCTGTCCTTCAAATACCCGCAGCAGCAGCTGAGCCTCCTTCTCTCTTTGATATGCCGCAGCAGCACAACGTAAGAGCAGCAGCAGCAGCGACAGCAGCAGCAGCAGCAACAGCAGCGACAGCTGCAGCAGCAGAAAATGCAGCATGCTGTGCATCACTGTGGCAGCCGTCTCTGCGGCTGGTTTAAGAGGTTTTGCTCCCCTAGGTTGCTGCTGCTGCCTTAATGTGTGCTGCTGCTGCTGCTGCTGTTGCTGCTGCAGCGGACTGCTGCTGCTGCTCGTCTCTCTCTGGCTAGGAGCTACAGTCTCTTTTCTTTGCTGCTGCAGCGCACAAAACAAGCAGGTGAGCTGCAGCAGCTGGCTGTTGCTGCATGTGCTGCTGCTGCTGCTGCTGCTGCAGGCTTCCGCTGCATGCGACAGTTCTTTATTTTTGTTAACGTGGCTCTCTGTCCTTCAAATACCCGCAGCAGCAGCTGAGCCTCCTTCTCTCTTTGATATGCCGCAGCAGCACAACGTAAGAGCAGCAGCAGCAGCGACAGCAGCAGCAGCAGCAACAGCAGCGACAGCTGCAGCAGCAGAAAATGCAGCATGCTGTGCATCACTGTGGCAGCCGTCTCTGCGGCTGGTTTAAGAGGTTTTGCTCCCCTAGGTTGCTGCTGCTGCCTTAATGTGTGCTGCTGCTGCTGCTGCTGTTGCTGCTGCAGCGGACTGCTGCTGCTGCTCGTCTCTCTCTGGCTAGGAGCTACAGTCTCTTTTCTTTGCTGCTGCAGCGCACAAAACAAGCAGGTGAGCTGCAGCAGCTGGTGTTGCTGCTGCTTCAGCTGATGCTACTGGAGCATCTGTTGCATTTGATGCTGTTGCTGCTGCAGTAGATGCTGCTGCTTGGTTGTGCTGTTGTCTCTTTATGTCTTGCTGCTGACTGCTGCATTAACTCTCTCTGGTGTGTACGTACAGCTCAGAAGGGACCCGACAGCCCTGAGGGCGCAGCAGCAGCAGCGCTGCAAACCCTCAAAGCCTTTAAGGAGATGGATACTGTGAAGGTCAGGGTTTAGGGTTTAGGGTTTAGGGTTTAGGGTTTGGGGTTGAGGCGTTGTTGCTGGCGGGAAGGCAAGGACTCGTCTAGGGCTTAGGTAAAAGCCACTATGGAAGGTTTAGGGTTTAGGGTTTAGGGTTTAGGGTTTAGGGTTTAGGGTTTAGGGTTTAGGGTTTGTTGTGTATGTGCGTCAGAGGGCTTTGATGAGGGACTGGTTTTTGGGGCCTCCTCTAACTCAGGTGTATCAGCAGGTGTTTGCTGTTTTGCCTATCGAGGTGCAGCAGCTAGAGCAGCAGCAGCAGCAGCAAGTAGAGCTGCGGTGTACGCGCTTGTTTGAGAGGGCCGTGCTGCAGCTGAAGCAGCAGTATCTCTCGCTGCTGCCGCCGCCGCTTAGCGACATCGAAGCGAAGGGAGTTTGTGTTTATCTGCTGCAGGTGCGCCTGCTGCTGCTGCTGCTGCTGCTGTTCATGATGCTGCTGCTGCTGTTCATGATGCTGCTGCTGCTGTTCATGATGCTGCTGCTGCTGTTCATGATGCTGCTGCTGCTGTTTATGCTGCTGTCCATATTTCTGCTGCCGTTAGTGTTGCTGTTGATGCGGCTGCCCCTCTCGCTGCTGCTGCTGCTGCTGCTTGGTTGCTTGCGTGTATTGTGCTGCTGTTGCTGCGCTGTTGCTGCTGCTTGAAATGCATCATTCTAGGTGCTTGCTGCTGGTACTTTTGCTGCTGCATGTGTTGCTGCTGCTTTTGCTGCTGCCGCTGCTGTTCAAAATACGGCGTTCAATGTGCCCGCCTCTGCTTCTGCTGTCCCTTTTGCTGCTGCTGCTGCTGCTGCTGCTGCTGCAGGGGATCGTAGCAGCAGTGTGCCTCAGTGCAGCACATAGGGAGGAGCAGCGAGCAGCACTTGCTTGTATGTTAGCGGAGACAGAAGGTTCTCTGTCTCTAACTTACTCGCAGCTGCATGTACACCTGAAAAGAGACAGCGAAATGCTCGGCAGAGCGCGCCGCCTGCTGTCTCTATCCACCCCACATCTCTTAACTGAGCTTGCAGTGCTGCAGCAACAGCTGCAGCAGCAACAACTGCAGCAGCAACAGCAGCAGCAGCAGCAGCAACAGCAGCAACAGCAGCAGCCGACTTGCGCGTTGATGCCGCCGCTGCTGGCAGCAGTTCATGTGCTGCAGCGGGTGCACGTCAGCAGCACTCTCGCGCTGCAGCAGCTTGTGGGGCTCAGCGACGAGCAGCTGCTGCTGTCTGCTGCTGCGTATTTAAGGCACTGGCAAGAGACAGGGGAGGAGACAGGCGGGGCCTCTGCTGCTGCTGCTGCTGCTGCTCCTTCTGTTGCTGCTGGGGCAGGGATGGTCGCGGAGGCTGCTGCTGTCCCCTTTGCTGCTGTCGTTGCTGCAGCCACCACAGCGCTTAGAGTGGGCTGTACGTACACCCTAGAGCAGCAACTGCAGCAGCAGCAGCAGCAGGCACTTCCGTCAGACAGAGAACTGCTAGTGGCTGCCCTGGGGCTGCTGCAGCAGGATACAGAAAAAGACGCATTTTAATTGTTGCTGCTGTTAATGCTGCTGATGTTGCTGCTGCTGCTGCTGCACCTGAAGCAAATAGAAGCCTGTACCTTCTTGGTGGTGCGAAGCAGTTGCTGCTGTGCCGTTGCTGCTGTTCTGCCGAGTTGCTGCAGCAGGCACAGTTGCTGATGCTGCAGCTTCTGCTGCAGCTGCAGCAGTTGATAGTGCTGCGCACTCTATTTATTAGCTGTTGCTGAAGCTGCTGCTGCAGCAGGCACTGTTACTGTTGCCACAGCTGCTGCTGCTGCTGAAGCCTGTCTTCGTCCTGGTGCTAATGTTTAGGTGAACTTCGCCGCCCAGCTTATGCTCACAGCAAGCACAGCAGCTGCTGCTGCTGGGTTTGCTGCTGCAGTGGTGTAAGTAAGACTTCGGCAGCAGCAGCATGTGGGGCCACACACACTGCTGCAGCAGCAGCAGCAAAGGGAGAAGTGCGGCAGCAGCACAGTAGATACGCTCTCACGTGGATGCTGCTGCTGCTGCAAGTGAAACGCCCTGCGGCTGTGTCTCTAGCAGCAGCAGCAACAGCAGCAGCAGCAGCAGCAGCAGCGGGGGGTGAGGCAGCGGGGTAGGCGTAAGGCACTGGAGGAGATGCCACCCAATTAATTTGCTTCTTTTTATATTTTATTTATTTATTTATTTATTTATTTTAAAGTCGATTTCAATTTTAAAATGCTGTTATGTTGCTGCTGTTGCTGCTGCTGCTGCTGCTGAGTAGCCTCGCGAGACCAGTGGTTCGACAGCGGACGACCAGTCGCAGCCGACAGCACCAGCAACAGCAGCAGCAACAGCAGCAGCAAATGCTGCTGCTGCTGCTGCTGCTGTAGTGAGAGTTGAAGTTAATTAAAAATGAAAGGGTCTCTCTCCGTTTGGTTCTGCGCCCGACACCCAAAACTCTGCACAGAAATCAAAGTACCTAAACCCTAAACCCTAAACCCTAAACCCTAAACCCTAGATCTGAAACAACGGGGGGAAATCTTTTCATATAAGGTGCTGGCATCTCTTTTTCTTCAAGACACAGAAAGAAGTTGCTGCTGGTCGTTCTGTCGGGTGCTGCTCTACTGCTGCTGCTGTGCTGCTGCTGCTGTTGCTGCTCTGCTGCTGCTGCTGCTGCTGCAGGCGGCATTCTCTAAGGTCCAGTGGCAGCAGCACTCCAGCGATGCCTCCCCCTGGGATATTGTCTTCTCCCCCGTAAGCTGCTGTTGCTGCTGCTACACATGTTGTTGTACACTTGCTGTTGCTGCTGCGGCTGCTGTTGCTGCTGCTACACATGTTGTTGTACACTTGCTGTTGCTGCTGCTGCTGCTGTTGCTGCTGCTGCTGCTGCTGGCACGACTTCAGTTGCTACTGAAGGTATTTCTGCTGCTGCTACTTTTGCTGCCGCTGCTGCCTCTTCTGCTCCCGCTGCAGCCATTGCTACTGATGCGATTGGTGCTGCAGCTTCTGCTGTTGCTGCTGCAGCCCTATTTGCTGCTGCTGCAGCTTCTGCTGCGGCGGCATGTTTGTGTCTGAATGCGCCTCAGGTGGGCCCCTACCGTGTACGTCACTGCAATGCAGTTTTGCTGCTGCTGCTGCTGCTGCTGCTTTTGTTGCTGCCCTTGGACTGCAGCTGTCTCCAGTGCTCAGCACCTGCTGCTGCTGTTGTTGTTGCTGCTGCTGCTGCTGTCGTTGCTGCAGCGGGTTGTGGCTGTGCGCTTCTTAAGACAAGCCGACTGTCTGGGCGCCTCACTCCCTCCCCAAATCGCCTTTTTGCTGCAACCCGAGCAGCAGCAGCAGCAGCAGCAGCAGCAGCAGCAGCAGCAAAAGCAGCAGCAGCAACTGCAACGACAACAGCAGCAGCAGCCAAAGCAGAATGCTAGTACGTCCTCGTTGCCTAATACACGCGCATGCAGTATTCTCTAGGGCAACTTATGGCAACCAAACCTTGCTGCTGCTGTTGCTGCTGCTGCTGCTGCTGCCGTTGTTGTTGTTGTTGCTGCTGCTGCTGCAGCAGATGCAGTACGCAGTGTTGGTGCTGCGCGTTATATTATATTTCAAGCCCTCCCCCTCGTCTATCAGCGCTTCCAGCTGCAGGTGGTACGGCTCATCCGTGTCTTGCTACTGCTGGTGCTGCTGCTGTTGCTGCTGCTACTGCTGCTGCTATTGCTATTTCTGCTGCAGCTTGTGCTGCTGCTGTTGCCTCTGCTGCTGCTGTTGCTGGTGTTCTTGCTGTGCCCGCGCATTTGCTGCTATTGCTGTAGCGCGTATGCCCTTCAAGCTATTCTTTGCTGCTGCTATGCCTGCTGCTGCTGCTGCTGCTGCTGCTGCTGTGGCTGTCTTAGATCGCCGCGCTGCCCCAGCAATGGAGCAGCAAACCACCTGAGCTGCTGCCCTTGGGGCCTGAAGATTCTCTTGCTGACTTGCTGAAGACACTTGTCAAGGCATGCACCAATTCTGCTGCTGATTCTGCTGCTGCTGCTGCTGCGGCTGCGTCTGCTGGTGCTGGTGCTGCTGCTGTTGGTGCTGTAACTGCGGCTGACGTTTGGGGTGCAAGCTTAACTTGCTGAGGTGTTCCCCTTCTGCTGCTGCTGCTGCTGCTGCTGGTGCTCGCTGCTGTTGCTGGTGATGCATGCTCCTGTTGATGGTGATGCTGCTGCTGCTGGCTGGTGCTGCTGGCTGGTGCTGTTGCTGCTGCTGTGCTCGTGCTGCTGCTGGTGCTGCTGCTGCTGCAGGAGCAGGAAGAGGTGGAGTTGCTGCCGTCGCTGCAGCAGCTGCTTAAAGAGCGCAACGAAGCAACAGCAGTAGCAGCAAGGCAGCAGCAACTAGAAAGCATTCGGGTTGAGCTGCAGCTGCAGCAGCACTCCCAAAATGATGATGCAGAGGCACGCTCAGCTAGTGAGTCTGCTGCTGCGGCTGCTGCTGCTCCCGTTGCTGCTGCTGCTGCTGCTGCTGCTCCCGCTGCTGCTGCTGCTGTTGCAAACGATGCTGGCGCGTGCTGCTGCTACTGCTGCATCTCTGTGTTCCGTTGGTGCTTTAATCATGCCTTGCTAAGGCCTATGGTTTAGGGTTTAGAGTTTAGGGTTTAGGGTTTAGGGCTTAGGGTTTAGGGTTTAGGGTTTAGGGTTTGAATGATGGACGCGCAGCAACCCCCCTGCAATCTCAACAAGAGACAAACGGCAGCAGCTCTGCTGTCCTAGGAGAGACAGACAGCAGCAAAGATGAAGCTGCAGCAACTCCCGTTGTTGTTGCTGCTGCTGCTACACCAGCAGCAGCAACAGCAACACCAGAAGCAACGCCTTGTGCTGCTGTCAGTGAATGCATCCCTCAAACAATCAGCAGCAGCAGCAGCAGCAACAGAACAACGAGCCCCGCGTCGGCAGCAGAACCAACAGCAGCAACACCGGAAGCAGCAGCAGCAGCAGCAGCAGCAGCAGCAGAGTACAAAGAAGATGAATTTCCCTCCGATTCCCCGTCTCAGCAAAACGAAGCACCGCACAGGTGGCAGCAGCAACAACAGAAGCAGAAGCAAGAGCAGCAGCAGCAACAGCAGCAACAGCACCAACAGCAGCATGACAGCCTTCAGCAGCTGCAGCAATGCGAAGTGTACGCGTATGACGACGTATACAGGCTGCACACCGCAGAGCAGCAGCACCAGCAGCAGCAGCAGCAGCGACAGCAGCCACAGCAAAGGCGGCTGCCTTCTGCCCTGGAGGTTGACGTGCAGCAGAATGCATTTTATGCAGGCAGCAACTACAGCGAAAACGGCTGCAGCAGCAGCAGCAGCAGCAGCAGCAGAAGCTGCCGCTACAACTATTATGATGCTCCGTCTCTGTTGATGGGAGACAAGCCGTGGGTGCAGCAGCAGCAGGAGCTGCACGAGTGGAAGCCTGCAGCAGTAGCAGGAGAAGCAGCAGCAGAAGCAGCAGCAGCAACAAGAAAAGCACCACGAGCTTGTGCTGCAGCTGAGCAGCAGAAGCTGCAGAGCCTGCTACAGCTGCAGCAGCCCCTTCAGAAAGGGACAAGGCAGCCCAGGCAGCAACAGCTGCTGCTGCAGCAACAGCAAGACAGTCTGCTGCTGCAGCAGCAGCAGCAATGTCCGCCAGACGAGGACCCCGGGGAACAGCATTTGCTGCAGCAGCAGCAGCAGCAACAGCAACAGCGCGTGCCCTGCGGTGCAGAAGACAACACTTGGCTTCCTTGCACAACATGGCAGCAGCAACAGCAGCAGCAGAAGCAGCAGCAACAACAGCTGGAGCAGCTGGAGGAGCTGGAGCAACGGGGTGGTCAGCACAGGCAGAAGCTGCAGCTCGCAACAGAGCAGCAACAGCAGCAGCACCAGCGGCAGCAACAGCAGCAGCATGACTACCACCAGAGGCAGCGTAGAAGGGAACAGCAGCAACAGCTGCAGCAACAGCTGCAGCAACAACAGCATCACCGGCAACAGCTGCAGCGGCAACAGCTGCAACATCAACAGCTGCAGCGGCAACAGATGCAACAGCAAACGCTGCAGCAGCAACAGCTACAGCAGCAGCAGCTTCAGCAGCAACACCTGCAGCAGCAGTGCTTCAGGCAGCAGCGGCGCTCCCGGCAGGGCAGCGAGCAGCAGCAGCAGCAGCTGCGGCAGCTGCAGCAGCAACCAGCAGAACAATTGTATGGCGTGCCCTCAAGTCCTCTTGACTGGGAGGAGCATCAGTACTTCGGGCAGCAGCAACAACAGCAGCAACAGCAACTGCAGCTGCAGCACAAGCAGCAGCTGCAACTGCAGCAGCGGCAACGGCAGCTGCAGCTGCAGGCAGAAGAAGAAGAGGTGATGCGGGAGCAGCAGAGGGAGATGCTGCTGCACCAGGAAGCAGCAGCAGCTCAGCAGCACTGGCAGCAGCACGGGGAGAGACTGCTCCTGGAAGCTGCAGCAGCAGCGAAAAAGAAGAGGGAGCAGCAGCAACAGCAGCAGCAACAACAGCAGCAGCAGCTGCTGCTGCACGAATCAGCATTTACTAAATACAGTGCTCTGATGCAAAGGGGAGAAGGAGTCGTAGGATCCCGTCAACAGCAGCAGCAGCAGCGGCAGCGGCAGCAGCAGCAGCCACCGCAACAGCAGGAGCAACAGTGGCAGCAGCAGCAGCAACAGCAGCAACACTATACTCACCGAAGCGAGCAGCATAAGAGACGCATGCAACCACAACGCCAGCAGCAATTTCGCTAGCTAGATGCACCGACAATTGCAGCAGCAACAGCAGCAGCAGCAGCAGCATAAATCTTTGCTTTGATGCCAGGGTGTCCTAGCAGCTAGCTACACTTCTCAATTCAGCTAGCTACACCTCCTCCGGCAGCTAGCTACGGCCCGTGAGGCAGCTAGCTACAGCTCTAAAGCCAGCTAGCTACACCTTTAGATCCAGCTAGCTACACCTCTATGGGCAGCTAGCTGTGCTGGCGTAGCTGGCTAGCTGCAGCAGGAGACGCAGCGCTGTGGGGTGCGAGACTGTCTCCTGCAGGCTGATAGAATGCAAAAAAAGAATAATACTTCCTTGTCAGCAGCAGCGGCAGAGGAAGCAGCAGCAGCAGAAGCAGCAGCAGCAGCAGCAGAGAAGTGTCTTAGAGGTTGTAAGGGGTACCAACAGGCGTAGCAGCAGCAGCAAACATAATAACCAACGTACTTTATTGCGAACAGCAGCAGCAGCAGCAAAAGTAGCAGCGGCAGTAGCAACAGCAACAGCAGCAGCAGCAACAGGAGCAGCAACAGCAGCAGAAGGACTGGGCAAAATGGGTTATCCTTCCTTCGTCTGCTTCGCTTCTCAGCAATCTAGCAAGCTGGCTAGCTAGCTAGCTAGCTAGCTATAGCTAGACAGATAGATAGATAGTAAATATATGTTAACATCCATATATATATATATATATATACATATATACATATAAACATGCATACACAAACTCAGTGAAATATATTCTATATATATAGAATATATATAAAATATATATCATATATGGATGCATATATATATATGTATATATATACTAGATCCTTGCATTGAGTAAGAGAGACAGAGGGGAGACGAAGAACACCATTCAAACCCTAATCCTTAAAACCTAAACCCTAAACCCTAAACCCTAGGCCTAAATATCATGGAAGCGGCGCGCTGGGTGTATGTACACCCCATCCGCTCTGCCCCACACGGCTTTATTATATTGTCTCTAATGCTAAATGAAGGCTGCAGCATATGCAGCAAAAGAGCAGTAGCAGCAGCTGGAGCAGCAACAACAACCACAGAAGCAACAACAACAGCAGCAGCAGCAACGACTGCAGCAACAGCAGCAAGGAGAAGAGATCTTCACCAATCTGCTGCAGTCGGAGTGCCAACAGAAATATCTTTCGAATTTCAGAACTGTAGAATTCACAGCAGCAGCAGCAGCAGCAGCAGCAACAGCAGCAGCAGCAGCAGCAGCAGGTCACTCGCAGGCGGGCTGAGCGCTGTAGATTCACTAGCTGAAGGCAGCAGCAGCAAACTCGCTGCATGCAAATATAATAATATAATTAAAATATACTGCATAATATATCCCTGGAGAAGGGTAGAAGGAATTTGCTGCTGCTGCATTAAGCGAAGCTGCAGAGACACCCCAGTGTCACCTCTGGAAGCCTGCTGCTGCTCTTGCTGTTGCTCTTGCTGCTGCTGCTGCTCTCGCTGCTGCTGCTGCCCTTGCTGCTGAGCCAGCTGCTGCTTAAGCTGCTGCTGCTGCTGCCGCCACCTTCCATCCGCTCAAGCGTAGGCATGCATTCGCAGTTGCGCTATACAGCACCCTATCTAGCTGCAGCAGCGGCAGCTGCAGAAGCAGAAGCAGATATGATTGACCAGTTGAAACAACCTTGACTAGAAGCAGATAGCTAGGGGAACCGTATGACCTGCTAGGACAGCAGCAGCAGCAGCAGCAGCCGCAGCAGCAGCAGCAGAGGGCCCTTCCCTTAGGGTCTGCAGTACCTGGAGATCTGCTGCTCCATTCGCTTCTGTTGCTACCGTTGTTGGTTGTTGCTGCGTCCCTGCTGCTGCTGCTGCTGCTGTTCTTACTGCTGCTCCTGTCCCTACTGCTGCTGCTGCTGCTGCTGCTCCTACTGCTGCTCCTACTGCTGATCCTGCTGCTGCTGCTGCTGCGGCGATGTACAGCGATACGGAGGTTCCAGAGACGCCTTTCTTCCGCTCTGCCTCCAGCGCAATTCCGCAGCAAAGTCCCTATACCGAAGATCCTGCTGCTGCTGCTGCTGCTGCTGCTGCTGCTTCTCTGAAATCGGGAGACAACGAAGCTGCTGCCCCCGCAGCAGCAGCAGCAGCAGCAGCAGAAGCGGGGTCTCCCCTTAGTTCTAGCTTCAGTGGTGGTGCCCCTGTGCTGCAGAAAATGCAACTGCCTCCCTCGCAATCGAGCCTGGCAGCAGCTGCAGCAGCAGCTGCAGCAGCAGCCGCAGCAGCATCATCACCTGCTGCAGCTGGTGGTGCTGCTGCTGCAGCAGCTGACGAGCCCCAGCTGCAGCACAGCTTAACGCAGCTTTCGGAGGGAGAGGTTGGTCCGCTTACAGTTGCTGCTGCAGAGCAGCAGCAAGCTGGGAGGATGCTGTGGGCTGTCGTTACACCTCAAACCGTCAATAATCAAACATATGCGCAGCAGCAGGTGCTGCTCTACCAGCAGCAGCAGCACCAGCAGCAGGTGGAAGCGCTGCGCAGAGAAAGCCCGGATACAGCATCGCTGCTGTTGCATGAATCGCAGCAGCAGCAGCAGCAGCAGCAGCAGCAACAGCAACAGCAGCACCAGCTGCTGCCGCATAATGCGCAGGCAGAGGTGCTGCTGCAGCAACAGCACCTGCAGCAGCAGCAGCAGCAGCTGCATCTGATAGAAGAACAAACACAATGGAGACAGAAAATAGAAGAGCAGCAGCAACAGCAGCAGCAGCAGCAACGCTTGATAGAGCAGCAGCTGCAGAAGCAGCAAGAAATGGAGGCGCAGCAACTGAAGCAGCTGCAGCAACTCGAGCAGCAACTGCTGCAAGAGAAGGAGAAGTGGGAGGGGCAGCAACAGCAGCAGCAGCAGCAATTGCAGCAAACGTATGCAGAGCAGCTCCAGCAGCAGCAGCAGATGCTGCAGCAACAGCAGCAGATGATGGTGGATTCTCAGGAGCAGCAAAAAGCCTGGCAGCAGCAGCAGCAGGAACAGCTAGAGCTTCTGAAGCAGCAGCAAGAGGAGTACCTGCGGCTGCAGCTGGAGCAGCACGACCACGAACTGCAGGAGCAACTGCAGCAGCAACTGCAGCAGCAGCACGGGCAGCAAGAGCAGCAAGAGCAGCATCTGCAGCAGCAACTGCACCAGCAACAAGAGCAGCTACTGAAGCAACAGCTGATGCTAGAGCAACTGCTTCAAGACGGAAGCCGCATGCACTCGAACCAGCAGCAGCAGCAGCTGCTGCGGCAGCAACCAGAACATCAGCAGGAGCAGCAGCACCACAAGCTGCAGCAGCGGCAACAACAGCAGCAACTGCAGCAGCTGCAACCTGCTTACGAGCACCGCAGCAATTCGCTTGGGGGAGTCAATGAGGACACCGTTTCTGCTGCTGCTGCTGTTGCTGCTGCTCCTCTCTCATTGCAGCAGCAGCAACAGCAGCCGCAGCAGTTTGCTGCTGCCTGTACGCGTCGCTCGCTTTCGTTTCCTCTCAGCAGCAGCAGCTGGCCTCAGCAGACCACCAGAAGAGAGGTATCCTTCCCCCTTGCAGCAGGATCTGCTGCTGCTTCTGCTGTTGCTGCTGCTGCTGCTGCGGGCAATTACACCCCACAGCTGAAGCAAGAAATGCGCTGCTATGCCGATTTACCAGATGCTGCTGCCTCTCCTACAGAGGCAGCAGCATCTGCAGCGGCAGCAGCAGGTACAGCAGCAGGGGTTGCAGAAGCAGCAGCTGCAGCAAAGTTTCCACGGGCAGAACCTTCACTTGTGCAGCAGCAGCAGCAGCAGCAGCAGCAGCAAGGAGCGCAGCACTTGCTGCAGAGCAACAGCAGCAGAAATTTTGAAGCACCATCTTGTGATCCGCAGCAGCAGCAAGAAGAGCTGCTGCTGTCTTCCCATGAGACTGCTGCTGCTACTGCTGGTGCTGCTGCTGCTGTGCAGCAGCAAGGCGAGGCCTTGGAGCCGGGTGTCTTCGCAGCAAAGCGGCGACTGCTGCAGCAGCAGCAGCAAGCCGGGTTGCTGCAGCAGCTGCAGCAGCAGTGGGCCCATGAGGCTGGAGCGCAACAAGGAGAAGAGCTGCTGCTGCAGGAAGCACTGGAGCAGCAATTGCTGCTCCAGCAAACAACGCCCGAGCAGCAGCTCCTGCTGCAGCATGAGCAGGAACTGCTGCTGCAGCAGGAAGAAGCGGAGATGCAACAACTGCGGCTGATGCAGCGATACGAGTCTCTGCAGCAGCAGCAACAGCAGCACCAGCAGCAACAGCAGCAGCAGCAGGGTGCTTTCTTGGTGAATCAGAAGCAGCTGCATGAGAGCTGCTGCAGCCATGCAGATGCGTTGCTGCAGCAGCAGCCGCGGGTAGAGACACTTCAAACGCAGCAAACAGAGGCGAACGTGCTGCAGCAGCAACAGCAGAAAACGGTGCAGCAGCAGAAGCAACAGCAGCTGCTGCTGCCCAGAGAGAGCAACGAGCTACTGCAGTTGCCTTTGTGCGACGAGCATAAGCACATTGCTGCTTCCCTGCAGCAGCAGCAGGCGCTGCAGCAGCAACAGGCACTGCAGCAACAGCAAGCACTGCAGCAGCAACAACGGCTACAGCAGCACCAAATGGAGGCCCTGCAGCAGCAGCAGGAATGGCAGCAGCAGCAAATGCTGCAGCTGCAGCAGCAGCACATGCTGCAGCTGCAGCAGCAACAGCACCGCAGCTTGGTGTCTCCTAGAAGAATTCAGCTGTCTAGGCAGCATCGGCTGCAGCAGCGGCTGCAGCAGCGACATGAGCGTCGGCAGCAATCTCTTTTGCAGCAGCAGTGGGTGTTGCTGCAGCAGCAGCAGCAGCAGCTTCAGCTGCAAGGACAGTTGCAGCAGCAGCTGCTGCAGCAGCATCTGCAGCTCCAAAACCGCGACCAGCTGCAACTGCAGCAGCAACTGCAGCAGCAGCTGTTGCAGCAGCAGCTTCAGCAACAAATGCAGCTGCTCAGTCTTCAAGAGCAGCAGCACGCTCAGACAACCCCACGTACAGCTCTTCTGTCTGTGCAGCAGCAGCAACAGCAGCAGCAGCAGCAGGATGCATACAGCGAGAGGCAAGAGAAATCGCCCCTTGAGGAGGAGGAGGAGCAGCAGCAGCAGCTTCAAGCTGCCGCTGCTAGCAAGCAGTACAGCGACGAGCAGCAGCAGCAGCAGCAAGAGCATAATTCTGTAGCTGACGGACGACAGCAGCAGGGAGAAAGAACTGCGCAGCAGCAGTTAAACACTCAGCAGCAGGTGCTGCAGCAGCTGCAGCAAAAGGACACCACACAGCAGCAGCAACAGCACAAACGCAGAGAAAAAGAAAGCCTGACGGCGTGCGGCAGCAGCAGCAGCAGCAGCAGCAGCAGCAGCAGCAGCAGGTGCATTTGCGGCGATCTGCAAATGCAGCAGCAAGTGCTGCAGCAGCAGCAACAGCAGGTGCAGCAGCAAATGCAGCAGCATTTGTTGCATCAGTCCCCCAGTGGCGCTTCCCTCGCGTCGCTGCAGGAAGGCGGAGAGGCTCTAACGGGTCAGCAGGAGCAGCAGCAGCAGCAGCAACAGCTGCAGCAGCAGGGTGATTGGGGCTGCCGATGCGGGGCCCCTGAGTGCAGCTTTTGTGCAGGAGACAGGATTGAAACATCAGCAGCAATTACAGCAGCGGCAACGAGCGACGCGGCAGCAGCAATTGCAGCAGCAGCAACAAGCGAAGCAGCAGCAGCAACTGCAGCAGCACTGCAGCACGCTGAGAACCTGCAGAGACACTCTGCCTGCTGTCTCCTGACCGAGCACCAGCAGCTGCTGCACCTTCAGGCAGTGGGGTGTGCAGCAAAGCAACAGCCCCAGCTGCTGCGAAGCCCGCAGCAGCAGCAGCAGCTGCAGCAACAGCAGCTGCCGCATTGTGGTCGTGCTGCTGCTGCACTTTCTGTCGCTGGTTTCGGTCCTACTCCTTGCTGCTGCAGCAGCCTGTGTGCACTGCTGCCTCAGCCGCAGCAGGCGTGTAGCGCAGCAGCAGCAAGAGCAGCAGCAGCAAAAAGAACTGCTGCACCAGCATGTACTACTGCTGCCAGCACCCCCAGGCATATGCACAACAAGCCCGAAGCATTTGCTGCTGCAGCAACGCCGCATGCAGCAGCAGCAGCAGCAACTGACCGCCCTTGGAGCTGCTGGGGAGGTAGCTGCTGCAGCAGCAGCAGCAGCCGCTGCAGACCAGGGAATGAACAGCTGCAGCAACTGCAGAAGCAGCAGCAGCAAGAAGCAGGTTGCATCCCCTTATTCCCACAAAGAGATACACTCAGCAGCACTGTCTCCTGCAGCTGCTGCGTTTTCCGCAGCAGACAAACCCCAGAGGAGCTGGAGCAGCAGCAGCAGCAGCAGCAGCAGCAGCAGCAGCAACTGCTGGTGCACCGCTTGCAGAAACGGCAGCAGCAGTGCATGCAGCAGCACTTCAGCGTTGAGGCGCCGGAGGCTAACCCCCTAATCCTGCAACAACAGCAGTGCTGCGTGCTGCAGCATCAGCTGCAGCAGCAGCTGCAGCAGGACAACAGAGGGAAGGACCTGCTGCTGCTGCTTGGAGGGAGCGGAAGCAGCCATGATGCAGGCACAGCAGCAGCTGCTGCGCGACCGGTACAAATGTCTGCTGCTGCTGCTGCTGCTGTAGTGACACCTGACGGCGCATGCATACGGCAGCAGCGTTTCGAGCTACTGCACCAAACCGCAGAGATGCAGCAGCAGCAGCAGCAACAGCAACAGCAGCAACCCACTCCACGTAGTCCCTGCATTGCACCCTCACCAGCATGCCAGCAGCAGCAGCAGCAGCACTTGCTACAGTTACTGCAGCAACAACAACACGAGCAGCAACTGCTCTGGCAGAACAGCAGCAGCAGCTGCTGCTGCTGCCGTGTCAGCGGCACTTGCAGCAGCAGCAGCTGCTGCAAGTGAACGCCGACGTCTTACGCTAGCGTTTCAGCAACTGCAGCAGCAGCAGCAGAAGCAGCAGCAGCAGAAGCAGCAGCAGCAGAAACAGCAGTAGCAGCAAGAGATTCACGTTGCTAGCGCCTAGTGCGTATGCTTCTGTAGCCTGCTGCAGCAGGACCGCAGCAGCAGCAATCCACTGCTTACTGCTACTGTAGCTGCTGCTCCTGCTGCTAACGGCACGCGTGCTTGTCTAGTGCAAGACGAGACAGCAGCAGCATCAGCAGCAACAGAGCAGCTTTCTCTTACGCCTGCTGCTGCTGCTGCTGCTGCTGCTGTAGCTGCTGCAGCGTGCGCTACGGAAGGCCTACCAGCCTGTGAGTGCATGCATGCAGCAGCAAAAGAAGCAGCAGACGCAGCACTAGAAATATTAAAATGAATGAGACAAATTGCAGGAGTCTATTCAGCTAAGATGGTTCAAAGAGAGATTTACCGGAGTCTGCTGCTGCTGCTGCTGCTGCTGCTGCTGCAGGTGCTGCGTCAGCCTCGAATGGTGTCGGCACTGCAGTAGCTGCTTCTGCACTGTTTGCTGCTACACTGTCTGCTGCTGCACTGTCTGCTGCTGTTGTGCTTGCTGCTGCTGGGGTCTCAGCAGCCGAAGCAGCAAGTTGCTGCTCTTCACTTATATGCTGCCGCTTCTTTGCGGGCTCTGCCTCTAAAGCATCAGCCAAGGGGCTGTGTGCTGCTGTTGCTGCTGCGGCTGCTGCTGTTGCTGCTGGTGCTGCTGCCCCTGCTTCGCCCGAAGCAGCGGCAGGTCCTTCTAAGGAAGGTGCACTAGAAGCATCACCCTGCTGCTGCTGCTGCTGTTGCTGCTGCTGCTGTTCCTGCTGCTGCTGCTGCTGCTGCTGACTGGACGGCTCTTCTGCTGCAGCGGCGTCCTGCGGCAACACTGCACTGGAAGCAGCAGCGGCAGCAGCTGCTGCAGCAGCTGCAGCAGCAGCAGCAGCAAGAGCATCCTTTCTAGCAAAGACAACTAGGTGGCCGTCTGCAGCAAGACTAACCACAGTTGCTGCTGTATGCGAGCATGCAAGACCTACAATGAAGCTGAGGTGTCTCTGCAGCACTTCAGTGACGGTCTCCAGTCCCTCTGCACTTGTTTCTGCTGCCCTTACCTCGTAAAACCCATAGTTGCTGCTGCTGCTGCTGCTGCTGCTGTTGTCTGCTGCTGCTGCTGCTGCTATGGGCGCCCCCATCGGGAGGCAGCAGCAATCTGGAGGCATCTCTACAGCATTACAACTGGCCAGCAGCACCGCACGCCTGGGGCTGAGGTGTACGTACACCAGGTCGCAGAGACTTGCTGCAGCGCATGCACGCAGGAGCAGCAGCAGCAGGTGAGACGACAGCAGCAGCACAGCAGCAACAGCAGCAGCAGCAGCAGTAGCAGCAAAGCATGCCTACCGTTCTGAGTCCCGCGGGCAATACGAGAGAGAGTGACGCTCTTCAGTCGCAGCAGCGGAAACACTTGAACTTGCAGCTGCTGCTGCGGCTGTTGCTGCTGCTGCTGCTGCTGCAAAGCCACCTTCATAGGCGTGTGCGGCACAAAGGCGCAGACCCTTATAAACCCGTCAGAGCAACCCAGCAGCAAATGAAGGCTGCTGCTACTGCTGGTGCTGCTGCTGCTGCTGCCAGGGACGATGCGCCGCCTTGGGCGCCACACGAGAGACACGGCCTGCAGCAGCAGCAGCAATAGCAGCAGCAACAGCAATAGCAGCAGCAGCAGCAGCAACCGCATGCTTGCCCGCCCCTACCCACGGCTGGACTGCATGTTAGTGCAGATAAAACCCTAAACCCTAAACCCTAAACCCTAAACCCTAAAACCTAGACCTACAGTGGCAGCTCTCTCATTGATGTAGAAGGCTTGCAGCGGCAGCACTTGAGGCACAACAGGAACCCGCTGCTCAGCAGCAGCTGCAGCAGCAGCAGCTGCTGCTGCAGCTGCGTCCCCGCCTGCAGCAGCAGCAGCAGCTGCTGCTGCTTGCTGCTGCTTCTTGCTGCTGCTCTCGAACTGCCGCTGCAACTCCAAAATTTTATCATCTTCAATGAAAGCTGTTGCCAGGCAGCCGCCTACGTCTGCTGCTGCAGCAAGCCACCTGCCTTTTGCTGCTGCTGCTGGTGCTGCTGCTGTTGGTGTTGTTGCTGCTGTTGCTGCGGCTCCGGGGCTGGCAGCAGCAGCAGCAGCAGGGGGGCGCGAGCGGTCTAGCGCTAAAGCAGGGAAGCTGCAGAGCAGCACAGCCGTGCCGTCCTCCCCGCTGCTGCTGCTGCTGCTGCTGCTGCTGCTGCTGGCGGTTCGCGTGGGTATAAAGACAGCAGGAGCAGCAAATGCAGCAAGTAAATGCCCCTGCTGCGTTTCATATATCCCAATAGGATAGGCTGATGGAGCAGCAGCAGCAGCAGCAACAAGACGGCCGTCTTGTAAGAACTCTACCGTCTGCAGATCGTCTCCCACCCTGCTGCTGCTGCTGCTGCTGCTGCCAGCAGCAGCAGCAGGGGCCCCTAGAGCAGCAAAGCCGCGCCCGTGGGCTCCCAAGACACAGCGAGGAGAAGGAGAGTTAAGCAGCAGGTGTATGTACACCTGAGATGAGTCATATAAACCGTGCTGCAGCAACTCGTCAGCAACAGGAGACGGGAAGAAGGAGTCCCTTCGAGCCCACAAAGAGCTGCTGCTGCTGCTGCGCCAAGCTGCTGCTGCTGCTGCTGCTGCTGCTGCAGGAGACTGAAATAAAGCTGTTGCTGTCGTGCGCTGCAACGAAGCCAACGAATCCTCATCAACGCCCCACACGTAGCACAACCTGCAGCAGCAGCAGCAACAACAACAGCAGAAGCAGCAAGATCAGCAGCAGCAAGAACCTCAAAATATGTGAACACGCAGTACAAGGATCTTCACCACCTGCAGCAGCAGAAACTGCTGCTGCTGCTGTTCCTGCTGCTGTTGCTGCAGTCGCGCCTTGCGCGAAAAACCCCACCTCGTACGCAAAGCAGCAGCAGAAGCAACAACAGGAGCAGCAGCAGGAGCAGCAACAACGTCAGGAGCAGCAACAGCAGCAGCGGGAGCAGCAGCAGCAGCAGCAGCAGCAGCTTACCCTGCTTGAGTTAAAGCGAGCAAAGTGTCTCCTTGGGGGTTTAAAAGCACTTTCTGTACTTGCGACGCCATGCGCCCCAGCAACCCCACAAACTCCAGTCCCTGCTGCTGCTGCTGCTGCTGCTGCTCTTGCTGCTGCTGCTGCTGCTGCTGCTGCTGGTGATGAGGGACGATGCGGTAAACGAAGACAGTCCCCACAAGCCCGGAGCCACCAACGAAGACATGCCGATCGCTGCAGCAGCAGCAACTGCTGCTGCGTGCATGCGCCTGCTTCTCTATCAAACCCACCTGCTGCAGCAAGCTGCTAGGGGGCTTGAAGCTGCTGCTGCTGCTGCTGCTGCTGCTGCTGCTGCCATCCCCCTTGACGAAGGGGGAGGCCGCTGCAGCATCAGGCCGCGGCGTTGGAGAAGCAGCCGCAAAACGCCCGCTATTGCTATTGCTGCTGCTGCTGCTGCTGCTGCTGCTGCCGTTGGTTGCGGCTGCGTATGGAGAGGAGACGGCAGGAGAAGCCATTGTGACTTGAGTCTGCTGCAGCAACTGCTGCAGCTGCTGCTGCTGCTGCTCCTGCTGGCGTTTCTCTTCCTGTGCGGGCCCAACTAGGGAAGCAAATGCGAACAACCAGCTGCAGCTGCTGCTGCTGCTGCTGCTGTTGCTGCGGCTGCTGTTGCTGCTGCTGGTTCAGCAGCACATGCAAACACCACAAGATGGAGAGTGCCGTGCCTGAGCCGTTTGCTGTTGTTATTGCTGCTGCTGTTCTAGCTGCTGCTGCTGCTGCTTTTGCTGCTGCTGCTGCTGCTGCAGCAGGTCGGCTGCAGCGGCCCGACACTGCTGCTCCTGCTGTGCTGCAGACACCCCAAATTCAAATTTTGTTAATTGCTGCTGCGTTTGTCTTCCTTTCCTGCTGCTTCGAGCCGCATGCAGCAGCAGTCCCCATGGCGCAGCCCCCTCTTGCTGCTGCAGCTGTGGGGCTGCAGCAGCAGCAGCAGCAACAGCAGGGTATATAATTCCCTACTCTATGCATTTCTTTTTTATAGTTTGATTTGTAGAGAGAAGAAACAACGCAGCTACGGCTCTGCTTCTCCCTATCTCAACCTGCTGCTGCGCATGCATGCAGCAGCAGGCCTCCACAGCAGCAGCAAACCTAGCAGCAGCAGCAGCAGCAGCAGCAATGGTGCAGTGTCCCCCTAAGAAGAAATCGAAAGCCGTTGCGGCGGCTACACGCAAAAACAAACCCCAGAAGCCAAAGACAGGCGGCAAGAAAGATAAACTGCAGAGAATACTAAGAGACGTAAGCTGCTGCTGCTATTGCTGCTGCTGCTATTGCTGCTGCTATTGCTGCTGCTATTGCTGCTGCTGCTGCTATTGCTTCTGCTGCGGTTGCTGCCGGTGATACTACTGCTGACTGTGGTCGCTTGCCTACTCCGTGCTGCTGTGCACTCATTTCCCTGGTGTTCCTGCTGCTGTTGTTGCTGCTGCTGATGCTGCTGTTGCTGCTTCTGCTGTTTGTGCTGCAGCCCTCAAAGGCAGTAGGCGTTGCAAAGGTGGAAGCCTCTCTAGCTGCTGTTGCTCAGCCTGTACACTCCAACTTGCAGATCGTTAGCAGCAGCAACAAGAACAGCAGCAGCAAGAAGTAAACCTGCTGCTGCTGCTGCTGTTGATACAGCCTCTACCGCAGCAGCAGCAGCAGCAGCAGCAAGCTGCTCGCTTTGCTTTTTTTTGTGGGGAGTGGTGGAGAGGAGACTGTCTCCTTTCACCTTCATTGCAGACGCAACTAGGCAGACTCTTAACTCAACAGTTTGCTGCTGCTGTTGCAGTTGCTGTTACTGTTGCTGCTGCTGCTGCACCAGCAGCAGCAGCACATAGTGCTACGTTTTGAGGGCCTAGAGACCCTCAGAAGACAGCTCGCTAGCCAGCAACTAGATAGCAGCTAGCTAGCCGCTAGCTAACTAACTAGCCACCAGCTAGCTAACTAGTAGCTAGCTAACAACTACCTAGCTGGCTTGCTACTAGCTAGCTAGCTAGCCAGATAGCTGCAAAGTAGAAGCGGTGGTAGAGTAGAGAGACGAGAGAAGAGATGAAGATGGAGACAGCAAATAGATAAAAGAGACAGAGACAAAAGGAGACAGAAATAAAAAAAAGATAGAGAGACAGAGATAAATAAAAGAAGAGAGGAGACAGTTGCTTCTCGCTACATGCTTCCAGTGCAAGTCTTCGCCTGACAGAGACACGCCTCCTTTGAAGAATCTGAGAAGCTGCAGCAGCAACAGCAGCAACAGCAGCAGCAACAGGAACAGCTCACTATGCAGCAACAGCGGACACAGCCACGCAAGAGGGAACATCGAAGCAGCAGCAGCAACAACACCCGTATGAACCTCAGCAGCAGCAGCAGCAGCAGCAGCGGCAGCTGCATCAGCAGGAGCAGCAAGAGCAGCAGCATCAGCACCAGCTCCAAATGTAGCAGCAATAGCGGATTCAACAGCAACAGATGCAGCAGCACCAAATGCAGGAGCAACAGCAGATGCAACACAACAGCAGCAGCAGGCACAGCAGCAGCAGATGCAGCAACAGCAGCAGCAGCACAAGCAGCAGCAGCAGCAGCAGCAGCAGCAGCAGCATACTGATAGTCGTAAAGGATTTCTTCGGTGGGGGGAATATCGCGTAGAGCTGTGATCGCGACTGCGCCGTCTGGCAGCAGCACGGACTCAGCGTTCGGCTCGCAGCAGTGGTTGATGTACCTGCAGCAGCACACGAACTATCTTGCTGCTGCTGCTGCTGCTGCTAACCCTGTTGCTGCTAATCCTGCTGCTGCTGCTACGGCTGCTTCGCCTTAATCAGCGGCGCAGCAGGGCGGCACAGAGAAAAAGAAGTGCAAAGCAACTCACGTACTCGCGACGTCACAGCAGCAGCAGCAACAGCAGCAGCAGCAGCAACAGCAGCAGCAGCAGCAACAGCAGCAACAGCAGCAGCAGCTGACCTTGCGAGGTTTCCCATATCGGTTGCATCAACATATCTCGTGCAGAGAGACTCCTCCACAGCGAAACAATAGCAGTTACCGTGCTGCCAGTCGTAGCGTGCCTCCCTGCAGCAGCAGCAGCAGCAGCAACAGCAGCAGCAGCAACAGCAGCAGCAGCAACAGCAGCGGCGAAGATACACACGCACGTTAATGCAGCTGTTTTCGCTGCTGCTGCAGCAGCGAAAACCTCCACGTTTTCTGAAGCTTTATAGCATGCCACCGCAGCAGCAGCAGCAGCAGCAGCAACAGCAACAGCAGCAGCAGCAGCAGCAGCAAGGGCTCACCGCAATTCGACGAGCTGCGGAGGAGGGTATCGTTTGTATTTGGGGTGTATATACACCTCGCCAGCGTATTCTACTAATGCTGTCCCAGCCGGCAGCCACTCCGAAGCAAACACCCCGTACCTGCAGCAGCAGCAGATGCAGCAGCAAATGCAGCAGCAGATAAAGCAGATGCAGCAGCAAATGCAGCAGATAAAGCAAATGCAGATGCAGCAAATGCAGCAGCAGCAGATGCAGCAAAAGACGCAGCAGCAAATGCAGCAGAAGAAATGCTGCCCCAGCCGGCAGCCACTCCGAAGCAAACACCCCGTACCTGCAGCAGCAGCAGATGCAGCAGCAAATGCAGCAGCAGATAAAGCAGATGCAGCAGCAAATGCAGCAGATAAAGCAAATGCAGATGCAGCAAATGCAGCAGCAGCAGATGCAGCAAAAGACGCAGCAGCAAATGCAGCAGAAGACGCAGCAGAAGATGCAGCCGCAGATGCAGCAGCAGATGCAGCAGCAGATGAAGCAGCAGCAGCAGCAGCAACTTGCCCGTGAACCGACGAGCGTTTTAAGAGGAGAGATCGGCAGGGCAGCGCCAACGAAGAATTAAAAGCAGCAGGCCAGCGAGAGACACCCAAACGCAAAAACTCTGCAGCAGCACCAACAGCAAAAGCAGCAGCAGCAACAGCAACAGCAGCAGCAGCTGAGGAGTGAGCCCACTGCAGCAGCACAAGAAGGCTACAGCAGCAGCAGACGCAACAGTAGCAGCAAAGGCACCCAGCTGCGCTGCCAGGCGGAGCAAATGTGCAGCAGCAGCAACAGCAGCAGCAGCAACAGCAGCAGCAGCTAGACGCACCAGCACGTAGTCGCCCTGCTTCAAGGGACTCTTCTTGAATGCGCAGCAGTTGCTGCTGCAGAGGAGACGGCAGCGCGCCGTTCACCTGCAGCAGCAGCAACAACAACAACAGCAGGAACGACTGCAACAGCAGCAGCAAATGCAGCGGCAGCACCAAGAAGACCAACACCAGATGCAGCAGCATCACCTATAGCAGCAGCAGGTGAACTACTACTGTGACGATGCCGCAGCAGCAGGCCCCGTGTCGATGCTGCTGCTGGTGCGGGTATTACTGCTGCTGCTGCTGCTGTTGCTGCTGCCGTAGGGCCGCACCTGCAGCAGAAGGCCTGGGAAGAGCTGCGCCTTTAAGCGTCGTAGCAGCCGCTGCATTTGCTGCTGCTGCTGCTGCTGCCCTGTGGGCCTGCCACCGCGGCCCCTACGCCCTCCTCTGCGAGCAGCAGCGGGTGCTGCATCAGCTGCTGCTGCTGCTGTTGATGCTTCTGCTGCTGTTGCTGTTGCTGCAGTGCAGGAGGTTTCTGCTGCTGCCGCAGGAGACAGCCGCAGCACAGAGCAGCAGCCCGGATGAAAAGGCCGCAGCAGCACGGCACGCCCCACTTGCTGCACTGCAACACAAGCAGCAGCAGCTGCTGCTGCTGCATCTGATGCTGCTGCTTCTGCTGCGGAGGCAGCAGGACGTGCTGCTGCTGCTGCGGCACCAGAAGACAAACGCAACAACCTCTCAAAAGCCAGCCGCTTAGGAGGAGGCTCGAGATCAATGCTGTTGCTGTTGCTGCTGCTGCTGCTGCTGCTGCTCTGCAAGTGCGACAATAGCTGTTGCCGCCACCTGCTGCCGATACACCTCACTGCAAGTACAGCAAATTGATTGTCTACCTCGTTCCAAGGGCAGTCTTCCTTCGTGCTGCTGCTGCTGCTGCTGCTGCTGTCGCTATTGCTGCTGCTGCTGCCCCTGCTACTCGTGCCGTAGCTCACGTGCAGCAGTTGATGCAGCAGCCATAGTGCAGCCTGCTGCTGCTGCTGCGGCGCCTCCGGGAGAAGTACGCAGTTTTTTGTGCTGTTGTTGTTGCTGCTGCAGAAGTGGCAGCAGCGACTCAGCAGCTGCAGCACAGATGCATCCGTTGTCAGCAGCAGCTGAAGTGCATGCAGCAACTGCAGCCGCATGCAGCTGCCTCTACCCCTGAGCAGCAGCCAACGCGCTTGAGCTGCCTGTACACCTGAAAGGCCCTCAAAAGGACATGCTTGCTGCAGCTCCTCCTGCAGCAGCTGCTGCTGTTCCTGTCCTTGCTGCTTCACGTGCTGCTGCTGCTGCTGCTGCTGCTGCTGCTGCTGCTGCTGTTGCTGCTGCTGCAGCGGCCGTTTCTGCGGTACAACTGCTGCAGCAGTCTCTGCTGCAGCGATTCTTTGGGCGGAGGGCTCGCTCTTGACGCTTATGCTGCTGCTGCTGTGCTGCTGCTGCTGCTGCTCCTGCTGCTGCACCTGCTGCTGCGGGCAGGGCTCGAATACATCGAAGAGGCCTCCAGGATGCGACAGCAGCACAGCAGCAAGATCTTTTGCTGCTGCTGCTGCTGCATCCGGTGGCTGCCTAACGAAGAAGTAGCGATCGCTGCGCTCGCTGAGACGCAGGTTCTCCGCGGAGTACCAACTGCTGCTGCTGTTGCTGCTGCTGTTGCTGCTGCTGCTGCTGCCGCTGCTGCTGCCTGTTGCTGCAGCAGCAACCAGCGCCACAAGTTCCTTTAACGAAGGGGGGGTTGAAAGAGCTGCTGCTGCTGCTGCAGCGGCACGCTTGGCTTCTGCCGCTGCGCCCACCTTTGCTGCAGCTTCTGCTGCTAGATCTTGTGCTTCTCCTTGTCTCCCTGTTGCTGCTGCTGCAGTAGCATCAACAGCAGCAGCAGCAGCAACCGGACCCTCTGCTGACGTGATCAATGGCGCACTTGACTCTGAAAATGCGTGCAGCAGCTGCTGCTGCTGCTGCATGTGCTGCTGCATGTGCTGCTGCTGCTGCTGCTGCATCAGCTCCTGCTCCCTTCCTGGTAGCGCAGCGTCAAGAGATGCATGTTGTTGCTGCTGCTGCTGAAGGTCCTGAGTAGCAGCAGCCATTGTTGCTGCGCATTGTTCCGTAGCAGCAGCAGCAATGCTGCTGCTGCTGGTAGCTTCTGCTGAATGTAGCTGCTGTTGTGGCTCCCGCTGCAGCGGTTGCTGCTGCGACTGCTGTTGCTGCTGCTGCTGCTGCTGCTGCTGCGGCTGCATTCCCTTCTCCTGCAGAAGGTGCTGCTGCTGCTCTGGCACGGCATCCTGCTGCATCTGTCCTATCTGCTTCTGTAGGTGGCGTTGCTGTTGCAGCTGTTGCTGCTCCAGCGGTTGCTGCTGCTCGCTGCAGAAGTGTTGTTGCTGCTGCAGGCCTTGCTCGGCAGCAGCAGCAGCAGCATCAGCACCTTTGGCTGGGATCGGGAGGCTTTTTGCTGCTCCGCTGCTGCTGCTGTTGCTGCTGCTGCTGCTGCTGCCGCTGCTGCTGCTGTTTGAACGAGGCTTCGTTTTACTTCTGCCACGAAGTGCTGCAGCAGCGCCCCTCCCCCTTCTAGAGGCCCTTGCTCGGCTATCAGTCTGCTGCTGCTGCTGCTGCTGCTGCTGCTGCTGCTGGTGATGCTTGTGCAAGTGCTGGCGGTAGGAGTGTTGCTGTTGGTGGGGCGGGGGTATATTGTGCTGCTGCTGTTGCTGTTGCTGCAGACTTGCTGGTGCAGTTGCAGCAGCAGCAGCAGCAGCAGCGCCATTGTCTTCATCGCTGCTGCCGGAGAACGAAGAAGTATCGGAGCAGCAGGAAGAAGAAGACAGCAGGGACGGCTGCCAGTCGCCATGCATCTTCCTGCTGCAGCAGCAGCAGCAGCTTCTGCTGCTGCTGATGCTGCTGCACCTAGTGCTGCTGCTGCGTCTCTTGCTGCAGAAGTCTCTTGTAGCAGCCAACAGCTGCAGCAAAGGCGTGTATCTGCCAGTGCTGCAGCTGCTGCTGTCTGCTGCAAGTGCGGTGAGGCTGTTGCATGCAGTGTGCTGCTGCTGCTGTTGCTGCTGCTCCTAATTCTTGTACAGTTCTTCCCTGCCGCTGCTTCTCTTCACCGCCACAGCCCGAAGCTGCTGCAGCAGATCAGCAGCTCAACGGTTTGTTGCTGCAGCGCCTGCCGCAGACTCTTGAAGATTGGTTGCTGCAGTCGCCATTACCCCCGATATGTGCTGCTGCTTCTGCTGCTGTTGTTGCTGTTGCTGCTGCTGCGGCTGCTGCTAGTTCATCAGGGGTGTTTTGCCTGTCTATGCATTGCTAGGCTTTGCTAGCCGCCTAGAAGACAGATTGCTGCTGCTGTAGCTGCCTCTGCTGCTAACGTGCTGCTACTGTTTGCTGCTGCATGCAATGTGTGTTGCTGCTGGGGCTGGTCCCTCCGCAGCAGCCACCGCTGCTGTTGCTGCTGCTGCTGCTGCTGCTGGCATCTCGTTGCTGCCCTTGTAGTTTTCTTTTCAAGAAACTCCTAAGTGCTGCTCTGCTCGCCCTTGAGGCGCCCGTCCCGCCGTGCGCTTGCTGCTGCTGCTGCGGCTGTTGCTGCTGCTGCTGCTGCAGCTCCTCCGCGTCTTCTTGCTGGCTTTTGCTCCGCAGTATAAAACAAAGAAGTCTGCCTTCCAGAGGCATTTGAGCAGCAGCAGCAGCAGCTGCTGCTGCACCAAATCGCCGCAGCAGCAAGCAGCAGCCAGGCCCCCCAGCAGCCACCTCAGCGACTGCAGCAGCAGCAGCAGCAGCAGCAGCAGCAGCAGCGCTGTGGGGAGCTTTTCGGGATATGTACAGCTGATTTCGCTGCGAGCGCAGGTGCTCTGACAGCGAAACCCGAAGCAACAGCAGTAGCAACCGCGACAGCAGCTGCAGCCGCTGCAGCAGCAGCAACAGCAGCAGCAGCTGCAGCAGCTGCTGCAGCAGCAACCAAACTAGGCAGATGAAGATGAATCGCAGCAGCACGGAGGCCGTAGGCCCCTATATGTACACTGAGAGGCAGCAGGCCTTTAGCAGCAGCAGCAGCAGCAGCAGCAGCAGCAGCGGGCTGCACCACGGAGGAGCCCCTCAGCACCGGCGTATGCCTCGCTCTGTCTTCCAGCACCAGCAGCAGCAGCAGCATGAAGATTTGCTGCAGCAGCAGCACCATCTGTATGAAGGTGGTTTGTCTAGCAAACGGAGCAGCAGAGCAACCGAAGCGGAGGCGTTTCTGCACGAAGAAGCAGCAGCAAGAGCAGCAGCAGCAGCAGCAGGAGATATAACAACTCCTGCGAACCTTACGACAGCAACCAATTTATCTGAAGGTGTGCTGCAGTGTACATGCACCTCAGGCTGGCGGCAACTAAGTGCAGTCTTTTCTTTGTTGCTGCTGCTGGAACTGTGAGACATCCTCGATGCTGCTGCTCCCAATGCTGTTGCTGCTGCTGCTGCTGCTGCAGCTGCTGCTGCGTTTGCTGCTGCTGGGGTGTCTGTACAGATGACGCATCAGATATATCGGATGCAGTTGGGGGCCTCGTCTACAGCAACTCACAGCAGCGCGGCATGCAGCAGCAGCAGCAGCAGCAGCTTGTGTCTCCTGATGGACACTCAGCATCCGTGTCTCGGCTAAGTGCGTTGCTGCTGCTGCTTCAGAGCGTTGCTGCTGCTGCTCCCGCTGCACTAGGATTGCTGCTGCCGCTGCTGCAGCACTAATATTGCTGCTGCAGCTGCTGCACTAGTATTGCTGCTGCTACTGCTGCTGCCTGCGTGGTGGCTGCCTCTGCTGCTCTTCTTCCCCCGCTGCAGCAATATTTCTCCTGCCGCTGCATCTGCATCTTCTGGTGCTGCATGTGCTGCTGCTGCTGCTGCATCTGCTGCTGCTGCTGCTGCTGCTGCTGCAGTACATAGGCAGAGTCGATGGCGGCCGAGTTGGCTGCCGCTGGCTGGCTGCCAAGACAGCGCATCAGGGCGCCCATCTGCTGCACTGCAGCAAAACACTGAAATGCGTGGGTCCCTGCTGCTGCTGCTGCTGTTCCTCTTGCTGCTGCTGCTGCTGCTTCACCTGCTGCTGGTGCGGCATCTGCTTCTGCTGGTGCTGCTGGGGGCGCGTGTATATGCGGCTGTTGCTGCAGTTGTTGCTGTAGCCGTTGCTGCAGCTGTTGCTGCTGCTGCATCTGTTGCTGCTGCAGCACATATTGCTGCTGATCCATCTGTTGCTGCTGCAGCACCCCATTGCTGCTGCAGCATCTGTTGCTGCAGCAGCAGCAGCAGCAGTTGTTGCTGCAGGTGTTTGGTGTGTATACAGCTCGAATAACAGCACGACGCGAGGATGTCAATGCCGAGGATTTGGCTGTGTTGCTGCGGAGACAGCTGCTGGGGTGTCTCCTTCATAAAAAGAAAGCAGCAGCAGGAGCTGCTGCTGCCGTGCTGCTGCTGCTCGCTGCAGCTGCTGCAGTGTTGCTGCTCCTCGCAGCAGCAGGCCTAGGATTTCACAGCCAAACCCCAACGGAGCCTCCCGCCTCAGTGAGTGCCTCTCAGGGTTTAGGGTTTAGGGTTTAGGGTTCAGGGTTTAGGGTTTAAGGGCTTAGGGTTTAAGGGCTTAGGGTTTAGGATCTACGCGTTAAGGGTTTACGGTTTGTGGTTTAGGGTTGAGATTTAAGGGTTAAAGGTTTAGGTTTAAGGGTTTAGGGTTTAGGTGTAAGGGTTTAGGTTTAAGGGTTTAGGGTTTAGGTTTAAGGGTTTAGGGTTTAGGGTTTAGGGTTTGTTTTGTGGCTCTGCAGGTTGTCCCAGAAGCCACTACGCCGGTGAGCAGACGCACAAACTAGGGTTTAGGGTTTAAGGTTTAGGGTTTAGGGTTTAGGGTTTAGGGTTTAGGGTTTGGTATTCAGGCCCCGGAGTCTTCCCCTGAGCTCGCTGCACTTAGGCGGGAGTTGGCTGCGCAGCGCGTTGCAATGCAGCAGCAGCAGCAGCAGCACGAGCAGCAACAGCATCTGCTGCAGCAGCAGCTTGAACAGTTATTGCAGCAGCAAAAGCAACAGCAGCAGCAGCAACAGCTAGTTGCCGCTGATCCAGATGTAGCAGCCGCAGCAGCAGCAGCGGCAGCAGCAGCAGCAGCAGCAGAACGAGAGGCATTAGCTGAAGAAGTGGCAGCAGCAAAGGTAAGTGGGGGGTCTCAGCAACAGCAGCAGCAGCAACAGTAGCAACACCAACAGCAGCAGCACAGAGCACGCGCTTGCCGCACCAGTTGCTGCTGTCTCTGCTGAGAATAGTATGCATTATGCTTGTTGCTTCTGCTGCTTCTGCTGCTGCTTCTGCTGCTGCTGCTGCAGCAACACGTCGCTGAGCTTGAGGCGAAGAACGATGGCTTCTGGGAGCAGCTGCAGCAACTGCAGCAGCAGCTGCAGCAGCAGCAGCAGCAGCTAGGCACGATCGGTTCTTCCTCCCTGAAAACCCCTAAACCCTCTTACTCTCTAATTCCTAAACCCTAAACCCTACAGCTCTCCTGCTGCGCTGCTTCGATATTTGCTGCTGCTGTTGCTGCTGCTGCTGCTGCTGCAGGTGCTGCAGGCTCTCAGCCGCTGCCAGCGGGGCTGCGACAGAAGATAGAAGAAGTGCATGCGAGGTAAAAGCAAATATATTTTTTCGTTTGTTTTTCTACGGTGCTGCTGTATATATATATATATATATATATATCTGTATATAGTATATATTTATGTATGTGGATATGTTTATATATTTATATATATAGCAGCAAGGCCTTGACAGGCCTTGCTGTTGTCTCCCTATGCTGCAGCTGCTGTTGCTGCTGTAGTTGTTTCTGCTGCTGCTGCTGCTGCTGGTCTTTTCGCTGCTGCTGCTGCTACTACTCGTTTTGCTGCTGCAGCTGTTGCTGCAGCTGTTTTCGCTGCTGCTGCAACTGTTTTTGCTGCTGCTGCAGTGGCGTTTGTGGGTGGTTTTGCAAGCGTTATTCAATGCGCTGCATGTACTGCTGCTGCTGCTGCTGTTTGTGCTGCTGTTTCTTTAAAGGCTAGCAGCAGAAGAAGAGACAGATGTTGACTGGGCGCTGGAGTCTGTTGGCGCTCGCATTATTCATTCGGAGACATCTCCGCCGCTAATCCCAGCGTACGTTCTGCTGCTGCTGTGCATGCTGCTGCTGCTGCTGCGTTGCATGCTGCTGCTGCTGTGCATGCTGCTTTGCATGCTGCTGCTGCTTTGCATGATTCTGCTGCTGCTACTTTTGCATGCTGCTGCTGCATTGCATCCCAGCAGCGCTACTGGCTTTTCTGCAGCAGGAGTAGCAGCAGCAGCAGCAGCGCATGCTGTATAGTATTTGTGTCTGCTATCTCTTGGATGTGCTGCTGTGTCTCTTTTGCTGTCTCTCTGTCTCCGTTTTTATTTCTCTTCTTTGTTCAACCCCTTTTGCTTGTCGCCTCATCATTTTACTTTTTTTGTGTTTGTGTTGTTGTTGCTGCTGCTGCTGCTGCTTTCGCCGCTGCTGCTGCTTCAGGGGGACTGTATGGGGAGGTTTACAGCAGCAGTTGCTGCAGCTGTTGGGTGTGCAGCAGCAGCAGCAGCCAGCAGCAGCAGCAGCATTGCTGCACCGCCCTGCGGAGACAGTGCTGAGGCCTGAGCGACTACCAGGCAACTGCTATGCTTTTAAAGGCCCCACAGGAAGAATTGCTGTTTTGCTGCCAGCAGCAGTAAGTGCAGCGTGCATGCATGCTGCTGCTGCTGCTGCTCCTGTTTTACATGCTGCTGTTGCTGCTGCTTTGCGTCCTGCTGCTGCTGTTTTGCATGCTACTGCTGCTCTACGTGCTGCTGCTGTTTTGCGTGCTGCTGCTGTTTTGCGTGCTGCTGCTGCTTTGCATGCTGTTGCTGTTGTTGTGCTTGCTGCTGCACCAACAGCAACCCTACCACAGCAACCTATGCCCAGCTTCCTGCTGCTGTTGCTGCTGAGCCTGCTGCTGCTGTGGAGTTTGCTGCTGCTGCTGCCGAGTTTGCTGCTGCTGTTTCTTTTTCTGATGTTGATGGCGCTTCTGGTTCTGCAGATTGCATTTCAGCAACTCTGCGCCTCTGTTAAACCTCCGCTTCTGCTGCTGCTGCTGCTGTTGCTGCTGTTGCTTCAGGTGTATGTACAGTCCGTAGCTGTAGACGACATGGTGTCTGTCTTGAGCCGTGATACAGCACCAAAGAGAATGCGAGTGTGGGGCTATCCTGATAAAAATAGGCTTTATGCTCCTTCTCATCTTAGCAGCAGCAGCAGCAGCAGCAGCAGCAGCAGCAGCAACAGCAGCAACAGCAGCAGTACGAGCTTACAGGAACTACCCCTTTCAGAGAGCAGCAGCGGCAGCAGCTGGCTGGGATCAGTGCTGTCTATACAGCCCAGCAGCAAGCCAGCAGCAGCAGGAGCAGCAGCAGGTGCGTTGCTGCTGGGGGAGTTCGTGCTGGAGCGAGGCAGCAAAAGCTGCCGCTTCGAAGTGCAGCAGCAGCAGCAGCAGCAGCCTCTAAAGAAAATTGTATTTGAATTCCTAGAGAACTTCGGTAACAGCAAATATACCTGCATCTACAGATTAAGGGTTCATGGCAGCAAGGCTGTGCTGCTCAGCAGCAGCAGCAGCAGCAGCAGGAAGAGCAGCACCAGCAGCTGAGGCTGCTGCTGCATCCGCATCCGCATTTGCTTCAACAGCAGCAAACATCTTGACACCAGAAACAGCGCAGCAACACAGCAACGCTCGTGCTGCTGTTTTGCTTTAGTGCTGCTGCTGCTGCGCTTGCTCTTGCTGCTGCTGCGCTTGCATCGGCAGCAGCTGCGACTGCTTTGCTGCAGCAACAGCAGCAGCGCTTGCCTTTTAATCATCAGGAACAGCGTATGCTCTTTAATCTCAACTAAAGCAGCACTGTTGCTTCTGGTCCTACAGCAGCTGCAACAGCAGCAGCAGCAACAGCAGCTGCTGCTGCTCCTGAACATGTCTCAAAGCATTTGAGTTTGCCTTTGAGTTGCACTGCTGCAGCAGCAATTTCCCTGTGCTACGCGAGCAGCAGCAGCAGCTGCTGCTGCTGCTGCTTCGGCCGCACCTTTCTAAAGCTTGCAGCAGCAACTGTAGCAAGTTGCTGCTGCCCACAAAAATTCGAGATGCACTGCAGGTGCAGCACGGCAACAGCTGCTGCAGCAGCTGCTGCTGCTGCAGCACGGCAGCAGCTGCAGGTGCAGCTGCTGCAGCAGCAGGTGTAACTGCGCAATTGCTGCTGTGATTAATAAGGCACACAAGACTTTCACGCAGCAGTAGCAACAGCAGCAGCAGCAGCAGCAGCGCCGTGGCTGCTGCTGCACGTGCTGCTGGTGCTGCTGCTGCTACAGAGGACTTGCAGCAAACGCATCATCTAATAAATCAGCCATCTCGCTTTCTTGTACCTCGCTGCTGATGTCTGTGTCGCTGCTGCTGCTGCTGCTGCTGCTGCTGCTTTCTGCAGCACTACAGGAGCTCCCTAGATGTCTGCGTGAGGGGTAGCGGCTGCTGCTGCTGCTGCTGCTGCTGCTGCTCCTTTCAGCAGCATCGATAGCACGTGGCGTTCTGCTGCTGCAGTAGCTGGGGCCCATTATGGGGCTGCTGCTGCTGCTGCCTTCCGCCGTGGGAGATGTGCTGCCGCTGTTGCTGCTGCTGTTGCTGCTGCTGCTGCTGCTGCTGCTGCTGCTGCTGCTGAGGTTGACAGCAACATCTGATAGTTCATAGTCAGAGTCATCTTCTGTCTCCGCGTCGCTGATGCTGCTGCTGCGCGCTGTTTGCTGCTGCCCCTCCAGATGCTGCTGGTGGTGCTGCATCTTGCTGTGCCGCAGCAGGTGCAGCTGCTGCTGCTGCAGCACCTCCCTATACACCTCACGACCCCTAGCCATGAACATCCTAGTGTCTCCTGTTGATGTCTCTTCTCCTACTCTAATCTCTCTTCTTGTTGCGTTGCTTAGCTTCTCTAGTGTAGCAGCAGCAAGCCCGCGGCTTGCTGCCGCTGCTGCTGTCTCTGCTGCAGCAAGAGCGAGCTGTTCCGCAGTTTTCTGACGAGCAGCAGCAGCAGCTGCTGCTGCTGCAGCAGCTGCCTCTGCTGCTGCTGCTTCCGCTGCAGCAGCTGCTGCACCAGCTACTGAAGCTGGGCCCATGCATGCCTGCTGTGCTGCTGCTACAGCAGCAGAAGCAGCAACAGTACATCCTACCGGCGCCCGCATGCAATCACACGAGCAGCAGCAGCAGCAGCAGCTGGAGTCGCTGTGCTTCTGCAGCTGCTGATGCTGCTGCTGCTCCTGCTGCTCCTCCTGTCTGGGTTCCGTCGACCCCACAGCAGCAACAGCAGCAGCAGAGCAATACACCTTATTGCCGCGGCCTGCAGCAGCACACGAAAAGACAAGCCTCAAAACCTGCTCCTCAGCAGCAGCAGCAACCGCTGCAGCAGCAGCAGCAACAGCAGCAACACCACCACCACAAACCACAGCAACACTACCTACAGCAGCAGCAGCACCCACAGCCGCAACTACAGAGCTACCAGTTGCAGCAGCAGCAGCAGCAGCAGCAGCTCACGCTTGATTTCGTCGGGTTTTTCTCTGCCTCTTTTCCTCCGCTCAACATGCGGTGCTGCAGCAGCAGCTGCTGCTTCCACGGAGTCATCATGCAGCACGACGCAGCAGCAGCTGCAGCAGCCGCTGCTGCGGTTGCTGTGGCTGCTGCTAGTGGGGCTTGTGCTGCGGCTTGCTCCCTGTGGAGGCGAGTCTGCTGCTGCCGCTGCTGCTGAAGCACTCGGAGGGCTTAGCAAAGCCGCAGCAGCAGCAACTGTCGGTGTGCTGCAGCAGCTGCTGGTGCTGCTGCTCCAGCTACTGGCCGACGCAGGCGTAGCAACAGTGCTGCTGCTGCTGTTGCTGCTGCTGCAGCGCGGGTTGTCTCTCATATCTATAAGGAGACTGCAGCAGAGGGGGCGATCGTGGCTGCTGCTGTTGCTTTTGCTGCTACTGGTTTTGCTGCTGCTGCTGCTCCAGCCCTCCATATCGCTGCGAGGAGAGTTTTGCTGCCTGAAGTGTTGTCTGCGGCAGCACATTTTTACATCAGCAGCAGCAGCTGCAGCAGTTGCTGCTGCTGCTGCTGCTGCTGCCCGATCTGCTGCGCCCGTCGCTACGCTAGGAGACCGTGCAGCAGTAGCAGCTGCAGCAGCAGCAGTTGCTGCTGCTCGTGCTGCTGCAGCGGCCTCTCTGGCTGCAGCAGCCTCCCTTGCTGCAGCTTCTGCCTGCAGCATTTTGCTGCGCTGCTGTGTGTAGACAGCAGCAGCAGCAGCAGCAGCAGCTAGAGCAGCAGGCCCTAGGTCATTCGATTGAAGCCGGATGCAGCTGAGGCGTGTTGCTGCTGCTGCAGCATCAGCAATAAAAGCAGCAAGCACAGGCAGCAATGTCTCGTTGCCGCATAAGTCGTTGCCCCCTAAATCGATACACCTGAGGTGCCTGTACACCTCAGATCGCTGCAGATTTTCTTCTTCTTCCCGCTGCTGCTCCTCCCGCTGCTGCTGCTCCTGCTGCTGTTGCTGCTGCTGCTGCCTCTGGTGCTCCTGCTGCTGCTGCTGCAACGGCTCGCTCGCAGTGTCGTCGCCGTTGCTGTCCCTCTTGAGCCGTTCCCTCTCTCCCTGCTGCTGCTGCTGTTGCTGCTGCTGCTGCTGCTGCCGCAAGTCTGCTAGCCGCTGCACGTTTGCTGTTCTGTTGCCGCGATGCAGCGAAGCTAACAGCACCGTCGCCCCAATATCTTTTATTTCGTTGTGGCTTAAATCCAGCACCTGCAGCAGCAGCAGCAGCAGCAGCAGGAATAGAGAGTGAAGCAGCAGCATCAGCAGCGGCAACATTAGCAGCAGCTCTGAGACGTTCCTCTCAGCAGCAGCAAAGGCAACGGCAGCGTCATATCACCAGCAGCAGCAGCAGCTACAGCGGCAGCAGCAGTACCACCGAGTACAGCAGCATCAGGGGGAATAGCAGCAGCAGCAGCAGCAGCAGCAGCAGCTCTACCTCCAGGGCCTCCATTTGGTGTAGAGAGCGAGCTAGGAGCAAGGCGTCGCAGCAATCTAACGAGCAGTGCTGCAGCAGCAGCACCTTGAGTTGCTGCTGCAGCGGCAGCAGCAAACCAACTGATAGTTTATACATGCCCTCCACAGAGACAGAGCAGCTGCGCATGCAAAGGCGCTGCAGCAGTCCCTCCCGAAACCAACTGTCTCCTAATACACCCCTCTTGCTTCGCTTCTTGCTGCTGCTGCTGCTGCTGCAGCTGCTGCTGTGGGGCTTGAGACTGCTGCCAGCCACGCCGCTGCTAGCGGTGGTGCTGCAGCTGCCTGCAGCAGGGTCGTCACAGGTGGTGCTGCTGCTGCTATCGCTGCTGCTGCTCTTGCTGCTGGTGCTCTCGCTGCTGCTGCTGCTGCTGCTGCTGTCTGCGTCTTGCTGCACAATTCGTTTGATTGCTTCTTCGCTGCAGCAGCAAAACGCAAATTCACCGATCGGTTGAAGATGCATATTCTTAGATAACGGAGGGACCTCCAAATACATTTCGAGCTGCTGCTGCTGTTGCTGCTGCTGCTGCTGCTGCTGTTGCTGCTGCTGCTGCTGCTGCTGTTGCTGCTGTTGCTGCTGTTGCTGCTGTTGCTGCTGCTGTTGCTGCTGATGTTGTTGCTGATGTTGTCGCTGCGCGTAGTCAGCAGTTGCATCTTCGGCGTCTGCTTCCTCTTCTTGAGTCACCTGTTGCTGCTGCGAGTGGGGTTGCTGCTGCTGCTGCTGCTGCTGTTGCTGATGCTCTTGGTGCTGCTGCTGCAGTTGCTTGACTTTCTGGGAGGAATCGACAGGCTGCTGCAGGAGTTCTCCTCGCTGCTGCTGCTGCTGCTGCTGCTGTTGCTGCTGCTGCTGGTGCAGCAGCAGCTGCATGCTCATGCGGCAGTAGCAATCAGCAAAGAAGAATTCGTGTGCGTTTGCTGCTGCTGCTGCAGCAGCTCCAAGAGCCTCTGCTACCTGTGTGTTGATTTCACAGCCAACCACTTCTAAACTATGGGCCGGCCACAGCAGCTGCAGCAGCTGCTGCTGCTGCTGCAGCAACAGCTGCCACTCCCCCACACGCAGCAGCCGCAGCCGCACTGTCTGTACACCTGAATGCTGCATGCACAGCAAACGGGTTGCTGCTTCAGCAGCAGAAGCACCTACAGCTAAGGGGCCGCTATATCGCAGCAAACCTCCGCAGCGAGGACAACGCTCCTGCTGCTGCTGCTGCTGCTGCTGTTGAAGTTGCTGCTGCAGCTGGAGCTGCAGCAAGTTGCGCACGTAGAGCGCGGTTGTCTGGCGCCAGGCGCGCTGCTGCAGCAGCATGCGGTGTAGGAGCAGCTGCTGCAGCGGCTTCTCGTGCAGCAGCAGCAGATCTGCAGGCCCCAGATCAATCTTTTGCTGCTGCAGCATGAGGTGTATATACACCCCAAATGATAAGTGCAACCAACTCCTATTCATCTCTGAAGTAGACAAAAAGGCAGCCAAATGTTCACATAGACGGCGGCTCTGAGCAAGAGCACGCAGCAGCAAACTGCTGCTGCTGCTGCTGCTGCTGCCGCTGCCGCTGCTGCTGGTGCAGCTGCTGCTGCCGCTGCAGCTGCCATTGTCGCTGCTGCTGCAGCACATCGGAGAAGCAGTTGCTGCGCAAAGACCAGGGGGTTGAGCTTCATCCCCAGAGAGTGCTGCTGGAGACAACATCAGCACCGCTCCCTGCTGCAGCAGCAGCAGCCAATGTTGCTGCTGCTGCTGCTCCTCCTGCTCCTGCTCCTCGAGCTGCTGCTGCTGCTGCTGTTCCTCGAGCTGCTGCTGCTGCCTCTCGAGCTGCTGCTGTAAGGGCTATTCTCATGCAACGAAGGATGCTGCTAACGCATGCAGAAGCTGCTGATGCAGCAAGTCGAGGCAGCAGCAGGTGCAGGGCTAGTGCTGCTGCTCCTCTTCGTTCTCCCTATTGAGCTGCTGCTGCTGCTGCTGCTGCTGCTGTTCCCGTCGCTGCTCTTGCTGCTGATGCCACTCACACATGGGCAGCGGGAGATTAGCAAAGTTCTGCGAGGTTTGCTGCTGATACGGTGCAGCAGCAGCTACCGCTTCTGCTGCTGCTGCTACTGCTGCTGCTGCTGCCCGCTTCTGCTGAGGGTCGTGCTGCTGCTGCTACTGCTGCAACGCCGGCCGCTCCTTCTGCTGCACTTGCTGCTGAGGCTCCTCCAGGAAGATTCTGCTGCATTGCTGCGAGGACAGATCGAGTACTGTCCAGCAGCAGCAGCAGCAGCAACAGCAGCAGCAGCAGCAGATCCCAACCGATGCCAGCCTGTCGCAGCAAAAGAAACGGTCTGCTGTGTTGCTGTTCCCTTAAAAAGTAGTCAACGGCTAGTTCTCCTCTTGCTGCTGCTGCTGCTGCTGTTGCTGCTGCTGCTGTTGCTGCTGCTGCGGTTCAGCATGCAGCGCTGCTGCTGCTTACAGGCCAGGCAGAAGCATTCGCATAGAAAATGAAATATTTTGCTGCTGCACAAGACAGGGGTGTTGCTGTTGTTGCTTCGGATGCTGCTGCTGCGGTACTAAGGAGAATCCGCTGCACAAGCTGCTGCTGCTGCTGCTGCTGCTGCTGCGAGGTGCAGCGGTAGCAGCAGGCCTCAGCATTAAACACCACAAGTGAGATTAAACAACTGCCGCTGAGCGTTAAAATTCAGAAACAGTTGCAAAGGCTGCTGCTGCTGCTGCTGCTGCTGGCAGGCGGAGCCGCTGCCGACAAGCAGCAGCCGCAGTAGT